GATAACCGGTTCAAAACGGTTCACAGCAATTTTTTTATTACAAAATGAATGTTTTAAACACTAAAATTGGCTGCTGTATTTATTAGTGGTCAAATTGTCTATGCTGAATGGCAATGTATGAGAAATTGCGGATTTTCGTGGCGCTCTTATATTGGCACAATGATTAATAATTTGTCACGTGGTCACGTGACGTCATGCTGTCAAGTAATGTTACGTCATGTGGTCCCGTCACGTAGTCACGTCATTCGCCGAGTCAAGTCGACTGGTGCCATTTTTCAAAATAACTACTCTATAGCAACTCAATCAACTCTATCTAATTGGATAAAGTCAATCGAGTTGCCGGCATTTCCTGAAATAACTAATACACCCCCGATTACCCCTGGGGCAATGCAAACCAGCCAAAAAAGAAAACATAGGGGAAAAAAGCTGACAATGAATCATTGCATTACAAAGTATTTGTACTTTGAAAGTACAATTGAAACTCAACTTTAAAAAACCCATTTTAAGAATTTCCTCCCGCGCAGCCCCATGCTCGAAAAATAACTGTCTCAGTTTAACGAAGTTTCCGATTTAAAGGAAAAAATGAGGGTTCTGGCGACTTCATTAAAGGGACACTGACACCCCCCCAAAAAAATATTTATTTTTTGCCAGGCGCTTTATTATGGTGTCGGAGGACTACCCAATTAATATTTTGCAACAGAGTAGCGTATTTCTTTAATAAAGCCAAAAGACGCAACTGCTCGAAACCAAAACCGAAACCCGACGGTGGTCGGAGAAGTGGAGAGAAGAGAGTGACTGGCGGAAGTCACGTGGCTACACCCGACCGCGCGGTTTTTTTTTTTTTTTTTTTTCCCTCTTTTCTTTGGTAGCAGACGACGCGACATGCGGCGTGCGATGCGGCGTGCGGGAACTGCTTGCCGTGCGATTCTTTTGCAGTTATGTTTGTTCCGCTCGTTGTTCTGTACTCCAAGATGAGTTGTTTTGTACATTGAGGAGTTCGAAATGAGTAGTGAGTGCCCGTGGTGAATTTCCATGATCGGGTCCGAAAAGAATAAACCTAAGATGTTGCGTGAAGAGCTGGCTCACATGTCCTGCATCCGAAAAAAAAGTGACATTGTGCGACAGAGTTTCCGAAAGATCAACGGGATCGGGACCAATGGCTGGCTGCAATTCCTGTAGAACATTTACGGGCACCTCGGAAAGCGGACGCTACCTGATTTATATGCTCCTTGCATTTTGTGGAAAGTGATTACATTGAGTTCGCAGGTGTCAAAACGGAAATCCCATACCGTTTAATTCAGCGAAGTATCGTCCACGACATTTGTTTGTTATTTTTTTTTTGTTCGTTTCTTCAGTGATGATTGTAAAAAAAAAGAAAAAGATTTGTAAACATCGGAAAATGTTTGAAAAAAAAAAAATAAAAAAATCACGGGGGATCGAACCCGGTCTTACCGCGTGTGAAGCGGACGTCTTTCCCATTATAAGCTACTGGGGCATCTCGTTTCTGGTGGATCTCTTTCCTTAGTAATAATTCAGCCGGTAAACAGTAAGTTGGAAAGTTTGCTGTCGATTGTTCTCTAGCAAAAGCACTCCCGGGTCGAAGTCGGGCAGCACCACGCTTTGGGGACATTCGCACCTAGTAAAGAAATCGTACGCGTGCATATTCAATTCGAAGTAGACACGTCGTGCTTGACGTTTGCGCGAGCGTTGTCTTCAGCCACGAGAAGGGAGCGACGGCTCGGCGACGTCTTCGTCCAAATCGGCTTGGTGGCCGGGCGTGTCGTACGGGATGAATACCAATTCTTTTGATCAGTCCCAAATTTCTCTTTTAACGGTAGACAGAATTCGCCGGTACCGCGAACGACAGTTCTGAAATAGAGGTCCCACGCCCGTCGTCCGCTGCCATCGCCGTCCCCGCGAGTCCCGCGATACGCGAAACGACGAACGCACAGAATGCTTCCGGTTGTCTGTGGAACTTTTTTTTTTTCAATCAACGTAATTACAGCTTTTTAGAAGCCACAAAAAATGGGTTTCATATTTTTTTCTATTTTTAATATTGAGTGTGTGCCTTCAGTGACCCACGACTTTGATTAAATTTGGTGGTCGCATCGATACCTTAGAAAACGGCCCGTGACCGCGAAAAAGAGAGTGAGCGAGACTCGAACCGGCCAATTCTTGATCGGCAGTTTTCGGGCGGAAAGAAACCGAATTTCGAGCCGCAAATTCTGTTCTGGGTAGTTGAGCTCTCATATGTCACGTACAACTAAAAACCTCGGCGAGCATAAATACCCTGTCAGTGTCCCTTCAAATTGATGTTCGACTGTATCTTGTATTTATAGTAATTTACTTCAGGTACGTTGCGCCCCGTGTACTTACTTAAAGTGATGCTCGACTGCAAAACTGTCTAGCCAAGCCGTGAATTTGATTAACAACTTTGTAGTGGATGTTAGGGAGCAAGAAATGCCACGCTTGCACACCAAGTGGGCAAACAGTGTCAGTGATGTCAATCTCTCCACCCCCCGCAAGCGAAGTCGGCTGCGATAGCGCCATTTTTTAATCGCTTAGCTTTATTGAAGCCTTATACAAGGGCGACATTTTTTACTTCATAGTGCCCACTACAAATTTTTGAATAAAAATTTTACAGCACGGTTTGGTGTACCATTTTTAAAAAATTTCTGCCTCCGAGGCGCATGCTGGGGCCTGTGCACGTTTGAATGCAAACTTACAACAGAGTAGTCTTCCACGGAACAGAAAACCGGTTCCCAGTTTCCTTCTCTCCTCCACTCCCTAAGGAGTGGAGGAGAGAACAACACTCCTAAAAGACAAGGCCATAATGCTGATATTTTGGCATTGCCAGCAAAGGCCAACGGTGGACACGTATTAGAAACGAATGCTGCGTCAGCGGTCGGCTTAGAGTGAAGTTTGAGCCGAACGTTGACACAACCGCCGTGTCCAATCTGTGACCAACGTTGACCTTCGCTGATGATGCCATCTCCAGCAGCACTACGGCTTTGTCATCTAGAAGGTGTTGCTTTGAACCACTCCCTGCGGAAATGAGGAGGGTTTTCCCTCTTTCTTGAATGGAAAAGAGGAATTCAGACTTTCCTTCTTTCTGGCTGCTTATAGGCCTTTAAGGACATGACTGATGATTCAATCCGGATATGACAGACGACAAGGGGGACAAGGGAAAAACATGGACGTCTCAAACGCGGCCGAGATTTTATTCACACGTCGTGCGAACTAAAACCTAAAGGGTTTTAGGTGCATTGAAAAGAAAATGAGCGAGAAACCACACAGGGTGGTGTATATTCCGTTTTTTCCGTGTGTTTTCGCACAATTCAATGGCGATTGCGAATGTGGAGCGCAAGTCTGTGCACTTCTTGCTCAGGGGTTGCGATGATATGAATACACCAAGCTCTTATTGGCCAATCAGCATTGAGGTATACCTAATATCCTTTCAATCAAAGCCAATCGGAGCTCGGCATCATCCCGACATCACCGCAACTCCTGCGCAAGAAGTGGGCGACTTGCTCTCTGCATAGGTTCTGGGTAAAGGTGGTCTTTACTACAGACTACAAGCTAAACAGGCTTGCGCCATTCTCAGAGAGAATTCGAGGTTGTTTGAAAAGGCACAGGGAATCCCCTCGTAAAATGCCAGGTTGGAGTTGTCGATGACATTCCAATGGCACGTGGGTTTTCCTATGTCAGACAAACAAAGTGCCGTTTGAATTCAAGATTATTTGAGCACAAGTGGGCTGTCAGGAATAATGCAATGAACTCGGATAATGCAAGGCACGCAAAAGAGTGCAATAATTGTTTATCAGTCTGAGAGGACACTATTATATTGAGTAAAGAGAAAAATCTTACAAAAAGAGTTTAAAAAAAACAATTAGGATCAATTTGGCAAGAAATTGTATTAGATAACCTTCAATCATACTGGATGCGATGTCACAGAGGTTTTTACTTTTGTAAAGGGTGGAATAGGGGAATAGAAAACATTGCATAAAACCTTTTCTTTATACGGTTTTGTTACAGAACTTTGAGTAATGTACCATTGTGTGTGTTATGAAGGGTGAGTGGTGAATGTGTGGAAACTTGGTGAAGGCCATGCGAGGGTAAGTTATACGGGGGTGTACCATTGGCTGTGTTATGGAGGAGTAGCGCTGGCTGTGTACATGCGTGCAACTCTGTGGAGGTCATGCAAGGGGTGACACGTAAAACAAGATGTATGAATAAAATTGTTTCGACGGCGTTTGAGTCACGTCTGTTTGCCCCTTGTTGTTTGCGGTTAGAATCATGCGTAATGTTAACCAGCTTGCCTATTAATTAACCTTGCTTCTGGGGACATGAGCCTTCGATGCCAAGAAATACCTAAGGAAGACCTTTTTGGAAACGGCGCCTTTGAAATGCTGCTGGCAATCCAAGACAGTCACAGCGTGGGGGGAGCAGGTTAAAACGCTTGCCCTTCTTACCGGGGTGTGAAATACCTCGGCGTTTCCACGTTGTGTCGTTGCTCCGCTCATCCCACCATTCTCTCGTCTCTCATTTACCCTCGCTCTCCTCTGCACTCCACTTTCTCCAACTCGTTGCTTCTCCCAAGATTGAGCAAGCTTCCGCTGGTTTCCGCCGTTCCCACTTTCGAAAAACCGTGAAAAGCAACAAAGATCCCATCGTCGGGATTGTGCACACCGGCGAACGATGTCTTGCAAACGAACACTCTCGCCAAAGTACAGCAGATTATTAGCTTAGACATCATTTAAAACCTCCGCTTGTCTTTTCTGCGTGAGGCCGATTGCTGTATCCGTAATTATTGTATTTTCTAATGATACGACTCACGGATCGTACGACGATTTTGCGCGATCGCCCAGAAGTCACATAATCGAGTTCCACTGTATCTAGTCATGTGCAAACATATAATTGTTTGTCAAACAGTTTTTTTCCTATTTTTCTTGCAAGCAGGGGCAGGCGAGTTTCAGTTATCTGAAGAACTAATCCACCAGTAGCAAAAATGACCAGATATTTGAAATCAGCAAAAAATATTGAACAAGCTTGCACAGTTCCATTGGATCTGGGTAAAAACAAAGCTCAAAGCTGGACTCGTTGCCCACAAGGCAGACTGATGCGTCCATTCACGATCCCCGCCAAACTGTGGGCCAAGCTCGTGCAGGAGTCGGTAAGTGTCCAAGGCGTATCACGAGCCGAGTTCAGTGTCTCTAGGCCTCTCCACTCGCGAGCTGCATGGAAGGTGCCATCCCCGCGTGCACATGGACACGGCCGTCCCATCCGCTCGACAGCAGACGACCGCTGTCCCAGGCCAGGCCCCGCACAAACTCCGTGTGCTCCTGGCTCTTGTACCTGTCGGGAAGACGGTTTAAAGCAGCGAGGGTTACTCTCTCGAGGCATTTCTGAATCTCACAATTTCACACGACGCAACAATGTTAGAGGGGAAGTAAGTTACTTTCGTTGTTAAGCGTCCCTGGGCAACGAGGGGAACCCCAGCCTAGCCGTTTCCGTGTAAGCTCCGAGAATTTCCCGTTGCAGAGGAAGAAAACACTCCACCCCATTATACTCTTTTCGGGCACCGGAAAGTTTGACCCTGGCAGTCGAGGTACGGGCTGCAAGTGTTCCGTCGCTTACTTGCAAAACTATCGGGCAACCCTAAGTGTTATTGCGACGTCCACAACTAAAGACAACTGTTTCTATTCTTTGCAAAATAGCGTACATTGGGCGGTTGCGTAATGCGAGAGCACGTGCTCTTGCAAACTCAACTAGAAAGTGACGTTCCCTCGCCACACTGCGTTTGGGCCTTACTCACACCAGGTGGTCCTTGGTTCGGGAGGTGTCGGCCAGGGCCACCAAGCAGTCGTCGGCACAAGACGCCAGCCAAGAGGGCCTGCATTGGAACAACTGTCAGGCACAGGCCGGTCTACCACTATCAGATTTTCAAACTTCTAGAGTTTTCCACCAATAAGGAGAACAAAAGAATGTAAAAAGTCGATCCAGTAATGTCTTTTGGTAGCACGCTCGTGCCTCATACCCTATCATACTCTTAACAGTAAAGTGCTTTTGCCCCAAGTTTTGATAGTGTGCGCCCCAACAGCCTAAATTCCACGCTAAACTCAAACAAAGTGGAACTTCTCCCCTCAAAATCTAACAACTGCTACGGCCTAGTTCGATGAAGGATTACAAATCTCCTATTGGGTCCTGCCCAATGATACGAATATAAAAAAAATGAGTCGATAAAATTTAATTACTGATCAGTTTCGTATATATTGCGTTATGGTCAAGCCTCGACAGTTACCGCTGCCAATATTCGAAGGAGTATTTGCTCGACGCCATTATTTGGTGCTGTCTTAATGTTTGGTTGCGGTGCGTGCATCGAAACAAACGGCGGCGGAGCGTGCGGTGCCTTTCTTCACTTGCGACAATACGCTACAATAATTCTACGGTCTGGCAGTTGTACGGCATCTGCAAATTAGCCAGGCCCATAAATCGGTGACTCAAGGCCGGCCGTCCGGGCTCCCACGCCAAGCGCAAGTCCGTCCGCTTGCGCGGGGGTTGCGGCAATGTCGGGACGCTGAGCTTCGACCGGCTCTGACCGGAAGAATGGTGGGCAGGCCTCGAGGCAGCTGTTATTCGGGTCTACTCACTATCCTTCCCACCAAAACCAATCGGAACTCGGAGTTCCAACGTCGCTGCGACCCGGACGCGAGACGACTGGAGCACTTTCTCGCCGTTCCCCTACCGTCTGTGACCCTAGTGCACCGAGTGGGTCACCTGACGGGGCAGAAGAGGAGGCGGTGGATGGGCCTCCGATGCGGCCGAAGCAGGGTCACGTCGCTCCCCGGCTGCCTGAGGTCCCGCACCACCACTTGGCCGCACTCCAGGCCCACGGCGTACGTGCTGGGACTTTGGGGCTGCCAGTCCAGAGCCCTGGGCACGCTCGGACAGTGGCCTGCACATTGGAGAGCGCCTTCAGTGCGCCGTAAAAATGCCTGGACTACATAGGTACTTGTGGTTGGGCTAGTTGGTGTGAACATCTTGACCCGCGGTTAAAAGCGCTAAGAAGACAAACGTGAGAGAGAAGACAAACACGGAGGCATTGGATGAGCCTCCGACATGGCCAGGGCATGCGCAAAATTTAAAGACAAATGATGGGGAACATTTGCACATGCACCATAGGGCCCGCAAATGTGAGCCACACACGGTGGTCAAAGACGCGTCCCGGGCATTTTACCTCTACTACGAACTCCACGGCACCAACGAAAATGCTCCCGGTGCTAGTCGCTTCCTTCTCAGAGTTAGAACCCGAAAATTATACGCGCGAAACGGGTCTATTGCGCGGTTAGCACGTCTGCGTGACATACGCGGAACTTTGGAAAACTATGGCCAACGTTAGTACTTTGCAACGTCGGCTATCTCCGTTAGCCGATGTTGCAAAGTCGGCATAGATGCGCGTCTGCGAAACTATGTGGACCTGCATGGGCATGCCACGTGTGCAAGTTTTGTCTCCGTTTGTTTCCCCCAGGTGCTCGGATATGTGCACGTTTCACGCTTTAAGCACCGGTAAGGTGGTCGGTGCTTTGGCCACGTTTAATCCCTAGGAAGAGTAGAATGCCACTTCTTTCCCGTTACAAGGTCAATTCAGTCGTGGAACTCCACTCTGGAACGGGGGGGGGGGGCCCTTGCATGCTGTTCAGGCAGGAAACACGTGAAAGAGCCCCGCAATGTGTACAGTTGTAGAAAACTGGGGCTAAAGTGTAAAAAAGGCCGATAACAAGGCGCACATGACCCGCTCGTGGGTAGAGCCTTTGTTGGTTGCTCTTGTGGGCCCTACAGAAACAATGTTCAATAAAGTGCGACGGGAAGTAAGGCAAGGTCACCCACCCAGGATGGTGGCTGGTCGACTCAGCCGGATGTCCCAAGAACGTACTTGGCCGTCCTGCGGGAAAGCGTGAGATTAGAGCGGCACTCAAGTGGATTCTGAGATTGCCTATCTATGGTGATAACTCAACCTACAGGCTCTAACCATCCTAAAAAAAAACACTCAAGGGCGGCCAATTTCCTTGTTTCCCCGATCATTTTTACAATTAAAATCTCATCAAAGATTGCAACACGCCCCTTTTTCTGTGCCTTGAAGCAGACACCAAGAGGCACCGTCGGATGGCGTTTTCCAGAGCCGTGTATGAAGAGAGTTTGGTCATTAATTAGTAAGAATAGGGAAAAAATAAGGGCACGCCATTGGCCAAAATTATTTCACTGACCTGGAGTGCAACAATTGACAACTCTGTGACCAACCACTAGCCACAAGTATTCCCCTAGCGGAGGCAACGAGCTTAACAAATACACTCCAATTACAATTTCAAGATAAGGATGTATTCAAGTATTTCATTTCAGCACGCTAGAGTTGGAATTCGCGACTCTTTGTAAGTGAAAGGGCAACGTGACGTTGTCGTCACGGCAACATTAAGAACACACTCAATCTTTCTTTCAATTGCAATTGCGGCCGCTGCCGCGGCCACGACAGAGTGGATGGTAAAAACTGCGGATTCAGCTCCGTGGGAGTTTTAACCTAAACTCCGAACTTGCACCCCACATTCGCAGTTTCGCTTTATGTTTCAGGAAATTTTTCTCAACAATGTGACCTTTCCTGGCTCAGCAAATGTACTCAGCAACTTGAAACTCTCCTTCTCCAGCAATCTCTTACAATTATACATTCAAGTACAGAGCGCGACACTGTTAGCGCGAACAAGCGATCGCCGTTTTTTCCAGTTTTTCTCTTTGAAACCAAGGGATGCCATCCAAGTTATTATTGCTACGGAAAGAGCTCATTTAGTTCTATAATGTAACAGTAACATTTCATGCTCGCTTAAACTATTTAGATGTCAAATGCGAAAATGTGCCGATGTCGTGTTTGAGCTAACAGTGTCGCGATGTGTACTTTCAGCCTTATCCAGAAAAGAAAAATACCTGCACCACGCTACGAAAATCCTTCAAGGACGTCCCAGCTCATTCTTACTTCGCAAGTTCATCACAAGGGGAATATGTGGCGCTGGCGGCGCCGCCGCTTTCACCACTCCACCCCAGCTCCCACTGGCTCCTCCCATTGACCAGACTCTCGCTATTCACGGCTCCGACGTTTTCAAACAAATGCTGTATTACGTCTCCTACACCAAAAGATTTTACGCTCTTGTCGAAATAAAACATGCCTAAAAAGAACTAATAGTAACATTCGGAATCTCCATGCAATTAACTATTCTCATTGGCCAAATTTTATGGAGGTGGTGGGAACCATAGGATAGCCCTCCCCAGAGAGAAAATAGTGCCCACGCGTGTATATTGTTGCGAGCTTATTAGGATGTATTTCCATCTAGAACTGGTCATTTTTACTGACTAAAGCCCAACAAACAACATGCCATCAAAAACAAGCTTTATAAAAAGCACTCGAGCAAAGGGGGTCCCTGGGGGTTTATTGTTCTCATTCTGGTTTCAAAGAAAACGTGACCAAGCAGGCATAGAAAGTGCAAGTGAAGCCTCGACCAAAGAGTGCTGCTGTTCGAACCCACTTCCAGCCTCAGGCGAAAAAACTATGCACATAAAAACGGCCAAGGTTAAAGGTGTGTCTACTATACGTGTGGTAATTGGTCAAAAGCTATTAGGAGTTAACAGCAAGAAATGCAGACCGACGTCAGCACACGGCAAAATCAACACCCGTGAAAGCCCGTGCTCGTTGATATTGGAGCACAAACCGTTACCTGTATTCCAACGCCAACAAAACCTGCATATTCACGACCTGCGACTGCATTTGTGCCTTGCTGCTTAAAGTGCACCGCATATCTTTTCATATTCATGAAAGTAATACAGCAGTTATAGATTAAGGACAGGAAATAAGGGTGTAGGTTGCGAGGTAGGCAGTTCCGACTGCTGCGTGACAGGCGTATATGACCGAGACGCCACGAACCCAGAGCGAACTAACGAGACGCCCTATCGAGAGCCGAATCATTCGACTCTCGGTCGGGCATTTCGTAAGGCACCGAATCCAACTTCTTTGAGTGCTCAACGATGTGTTTCTCTAAGCACACTAGGTTATCTGGCACGGAAAAAGGAAATAAGTTGCCATTTATTTACCCATCACTCGCCATATAGCTGTAGGCTGTTGCCACACAAAGAGCAAGCGGGAAGAGAAGAAAGGGCAGAGCCCTCAACTCTGCTATTTCTGAGCTCGGGTTTCTATCTCTCGAAATCAGTAACATAGTGCATTAGCAAATTACTCATAAAAGATGTATCATCAATGCCAGTAACAAGTGTTATAGAGACTAGCTTTCCAAATCTTAAGGTTTCTTGATATTCCCTTGCCAAGTATACGTCACTGCATGTGACCAAAGACACAAAGAAAGGGGGAGCCAGGTAAGAGATGTTTGCAGGTGAGAAATATAGCTTTTTTTCCACGAGCCGGTTTCACCAAATTCGTGAAAAACCAATAAACCTTAAATTGGAGCTGTTCTTAAATAATAAAAAAAATGCCCAAGCTTCATAAAAAAAACTGTATATATTTCGTTGACCCAGAAGGCAGCCTGCACCGAACTGTTTGCAAGGCTGCTGCTTTCATTGGGAACCACAGCCGTTCATTTTGTGTCCTCTTATCGATACCAGGATGCTTTCGAAGTGTTCTGGCCACGCGCACGTTTTCTGGAGGTTGGGAAATCTCATGCCCCCTTTCCTTCAACGTAAGCGCCAATAAACTCAGATTTTTGGTCACACACTGAAAGCAGACATAAAAAAAAGAATCCAAAACTGTAGGAAAAAAAAAAAAAAAGCCAGGAAAAATATCCTTAAGTTCGATGATAAACAAACCCTGAAAGTACGGGACCCTGGTTATACACTATTCCATAACATCCTAAACAAAACAAAAAAAATTTTTTTTTTTTTTGAGGAGTCTGGCTTTTTTTTACAACAATGCAGACACTGGGAGCATGTGTCTTTAGTACTGCACCACTACCGTAAAATTCTGTAAGGGTGCCCACCCAAAATAAAAAGATAAATAATAAAAATGAAACAGCAAATTAAAAAAAAAAAAAAATGATAAATGCGAGGGACATTTGCTACAAACCACGTGACCCGGGCACTGATACTGCGAATCGCGGACATGGCAATTTAGCGTTTCACAGCGGGGTAAACACGTGGGAAATTCACAACAAACTCCTGCGTCACGGGAAAGGATACCGCAGACTGCAGATGCAGAATGACACGTGTTTCACGGTGCAATAAACATGCGGAAACTGGCTAAACTTGCGCGCCACGGGAACCGATTATGCGTGCGCAGATCGCAGACAAAAAAAGATTTGGCAGACACTTGAGACTGCTTACATGTAGGAATGCAAAAGCATTCCTACATGCAGCGCATTCCTACACCCAGCACATTCCTACAAGCAGCACGCCACGTCTTCCTATCGCTCCGGCGGCGACATCACGCTCCCCACTGCACAGGCAAGGTAAACCCTGCTGGCTTCCGTGACGAAGCATTGCGTTGCTGTGCTTTTCTTTGTATTTTATTGGGAATGAGCCAATGGGAATTTAGATACCACTTCACTCAGCCAATAAAAATTTAGGTGCCGTTTTTCGCTGCTAGAGACAACGGCTACAAACGCCGCCAGCTTCGCTCCATGGGACAGCTCATGCTTTCGCATGAATACGCGGGAACTTGCTATGAACTCTCATGTCCGACAGGAACCCGCTGCAAACCCGCTTGTCACACGTACCGGTACCGCAGACCGCACGGTTGGTGTGCTTCCCATCGGACATCGCATCGATGGGAATTGGGCGGGTGGGCGATGTTTAGGAAGTTTTATGTTACAAGTATTTAGTAGTGATGGGCCAAACTTTTGCCGAATCCCAAGATTTGGCACCGAATCTTGAGATTCGGCAAAGCCGAACTTTTGCCAAATTTTTTTAAAGATTCGGCAAAAAACATTGTTGCCAGACTTAAAAAGGCACTGACACATCAAAATCATTTTTTTTTTTTATTATCTGAAACGATTGAAAACGATGCCGGGACATTACCCTCAAAATTTGAAATTTGGGAATTCAGTATTCGTGAAGTAAAAAAACAATTTCCAAATGCCGAATTCGAAGTTCCCGTGCGATCGGCGCCGGTGCCTTGACGTCAAAAATTGCGAAGACCTGAGAGTCCCCTTTCTTTCACCCCTCCCGGCTGTTGCCATGGCGACCCAAAGCGAGGGGGAAAGGAGTGAGCGGCGGCGTTCAACCAGGCGTTCCGGCGGACCGGTTTTGAGCGGTGTCGCCTGTTTTCCGTTGGAGGATACAAATCCAGGAGACGGCACCACAACGAACTCCCGATTTTTGGTATTTCAAAAAGAAGGGCCGTAGTGCGTTCGCAATTGCGTTAAAAATCATGTTTTAGGATTGCCGCCATTAAATGTTATAGAGATGTCGCCTACAAATCTTCTAAATTTCATGATTCTTGACGTCACCGATCAAAAGAAGCGAGGAGGCGAGAGGCGGGAAAATCAAACGCCAAAAATAAAAAGGCGCGCGCGCAAGAAATTTTTTTTTCGCGATGCGGTTTTTTTTGCGTGTCTATGACTGCAACTTGCATCGTTTTAGACAATAAAAATAAATACAACCTTTGGGGTGTCAGTGCCCCTTTAACGTTAACATTTTGCTTTTTCAGGCAAAAAAAAGGTTCTATGTGTTTTTTTCTTAACTTAAATGCAACATGTAATAAAAATTGACACAGTTATCACTAAATAAGGTGATCTTTTACAAGATAATTGTATTGGTGTCGTTTTTGTGTGTTTACTGACAACTTTACAGTGACTTCTTCCAGAAGTGGTGTGACAACGAGGTTGGGCAGAAGCAGATGCAGTCGCGAATCACGCTACAAAAGTTTCAATTTTGAGGCCTCATCAGCGCAAGCCTGCAAGTGTGTGTGGTGTACATTGTTCATACAAAGGCAATAACACTGCACTCTTAATTTATCAGTCACCATTTTGTGTGCGAAAACGAATGCAACGGTTGCAGAGCCTTCACCAGAAGAGGTAACAATATTATTGCAAATACGGGTGTTTTTTTATTTGAGTCACTTGATAACAGCTTTGCATGAAAGCGTGTGTCACATGTTCCCAAACCCTTGCTTTTAACCTATAAAACACTGGTTTCTGCTGCTAGGACACACATGGATGTTTAGGAAGATGGTAAGAGTTAAGAATTCCAGATGTGCAATGTTGAGCATGATAGTTGTGTCTAGTTTTATGCAGATACATGAAAACCGTAAAATAATGCTAAGTAAAACACAATATTATATTGTTGTGGCACAAACTACTTGTGAGCCGAAAAGAGGATTGTTAGTATATCTGCGGGGAGTGCTTTAAAGTAATTGTCAGTTAATGTTGCAACTACCTTGTTGCATCACTGGAAAGGTCGAATGAAAATCACGTCATCCAGAATGTACCTAATCATTTGTCACTTGTCACTTGCACAGTGGACTGCATAAATTACTGGTTCACCTTCTGTTTTTGAGGAAGAAAATGTTGAAGAAAGCCACACTCGCAAAGGCTCACCAAACGCACAATTACCGTGTTGCCTACTCCACACCTCACCATAACCGCTGGTTTTACGACACTGTACGACGTTAGCTGCACAACCGTATGGCATCCATTTACAATCCATGGCCCCGTCGCATTCTCACGCGTGCGCAGACATTTGCCGAATTTTCACCGAATCTGAAGTTCGGCAGATTCGATTCATCACTAGTATTTAACCAGAAAAACGGGATGGGCAATCTCTCAGGGTAGGGCGCCCTTACGGGGTTATGGTAGACGGCTTTGCTGCTTTGCTGCTGAAACTAGCAAAGCACTTTTTAGAGAAGAGACAATACAGGGAGCTTAGTCTAAAAGGGGCTACTTTGGAGTTAAACCACCCACTGGTAGGCGACTCACCCTGCCACAGGAGATGAAGACGTGGGGGTCGGCAGAGAAGGCCACCTTCCAGACCACATCGGCATGGGCTGCAGGGAAGGACCCTCACAATCGAAAGGCATTCAAACAATCGCCTTCCTTTGGCATTTGCACCTACTCTCTGGAAATGCCATTCATTTTGTTCCACTAAGCATCGTAAGAGTTCCTTTACAAAATGCAGTACAACCTGGTGGCCCAAATAGCAGTTTGACTTTTGCTGTACTAATCGTGGCCACGCAAATATATATTGCATTGGACACAGTCACCTATGCACGTCAACGGCAGATGAATGTGGGTTCTTCCCCTATTAGTTCTTTTAGGTGTGTTTCAGTTCTATGGTGTGAGCTAAAGAACTGACCAGTATAAAGTGCCAACCCATGAACCCCTCGATAGAAGGTCACATCTACGAATGCACCGACAGCATACAGCACACATTCACACACCAAGGCGAGCCTCATCGAGAAAAAATATCAACCTCATTGCTTGCGCTGCTCTCGACAGTCGGCCCACTGATGGCTTTCACTAAATACATCCCGAGAAGTCGCCATCAAGTTTGAGTTTGAAGCAACAAAGGGCAATGCACATCCTCGTATGAGGCTCCAAAACATTTTCTACCAACGCTCCTTTTCACAAGCGAGTGCCAACAACCTTGAGATCATTATTAAAGAGTCGTCGACAGTTGCCTTTCGCATCCATTTCGAGATCAACTCAAGAATCAGACACCGATAAATGTGGACATGCCAGGTGTTTGGAACATTAGCGCCTTAGTACCAGAAAATGAGGGATCTGTGCACTGAGGTTGTGGCACTTTCCAATTACGACATATGCACAGAATGCATCTTCAAACCAAAATAGTGTAAAAAAAGACGAAAAAAGAAGGGCCCTAAATAATTGAAAGGAACTCATTGGGGCAACACAATCAGTCACAGCAAGCATGAGGGCCCAAGTGCGACGTGATAATCAGCGAGCTAATCGCCGATTGAAAGCCCTCACCTGACACGTACGTCTTGGTGCACTGCATGGACCTCAGGTCCCAGATCTTGATGCTGGAAAGAGTTGCCAAGCCACGCTTACATAGGGCAGGCCGGAGCTGCCCAATGTGAACCCTTTCGATGCGTTTGGGGTTGTCTCGCAAGTAGCGTGAAATTAGTCAAAGCGCGAAAACAATGTCTCGTGCAGTCCGTGGAAGCAAATGGCGGTGCAGCATAAAAATGAGTGGCCCTTTAAGCGAACAGTAGAGCAGCACTCGCACGAGGCACACGTTTTGCACGTCCATAGAACAATGGTTATTGATACTTAGGAAGAAACGTAAAACGTGAATTTTTACGACCACAGAAACACCCAAGCTTCTCTTCAGAACCGCACCATGACATTTGAATTGACGGCTTCAAAAAAGCAGCCCCGAGCAAATTAACCCAATCAAATTGGGCAGAAACGAAGCAGGCTTTCTTATTTACCTGCATTACGTGACACCCAATATCGAAAGCAAAAACATACATGCCGGTCACAGTCCAAGAGGATCGTAACTCATCAGTCATTCAGAGCCCCCGTGCGAACGAGTTACAACAAATATTTCTAGTTTTCTTTATCCTTTTTCCTTCCTGAAAAGTCTCTAGCATACGTGGGAGCTACGGAACGCGGTGCTCAGAGAACCTTCGGTGGCTTTAGGGCCAGCTTCATCGAACCTCTTCTCCATCAGGAGGGTAGCCTAAGCCCCAGCGACGTAGGAAATTCAGCACTCTGGCCCTGCTATCTAAAAGGTGTTGAGAGGGTGCTGCCCAGATTTCGACTCCTGCGGCTTTTCCTCGAGGGCGGCGTACCTGTGGTCCCACCCGGTGGAGGCCAGCCTGCAGCCGTCCGTGCTCAGCGCCAGGGAGGTGAGTCCCGCGTCATGGTCGCATTGGTAGAAGAGCGATTCTATCTCGGGGGCACCCTCCCCTTCCTTGGACAGCCGGAGCAGCTCCAAGGCACCTGCGCTCACAGAGCCCGCCGGACGGTCACGCAGGTAAGCAGAAAGCATAGTTGTACTCCGTTTCACCTTCACTATTGACACAACGAGCCAGTGGCGCCACTCAAGCTTCTTGGAAACCATTAGATTGCGGCATTTCTCATGTCTCTACTCACGTTTTACTGCCCACTAGCTTTTGGCCTCCTCTTCCCCCTCCCCCTCCTCCTCCTCCTCTCCTCTCCTCTCCTCTCCTCTCCTCTCCTCTCCTCTCCTCCCCTCCCCTCCCCTCCCCCCCCCCCCCCCGACATGATGAAACGCAGTATGAGCTTGGTACGATGCCTGGAATGCATCTTCTATTGGTTTGTCTAGTGCCCCTAGACCCCACGCATCGAAAACATTCTTCAAGTGGCAAAGATTGACGTTGCAGGAGCTGGCACGTCCTGTTTTCAGACAACGCAATCTTGGCAGCTGGTTGTAGGAGTTCCAACAAAAAGTATGAGCAAATGCAAGTGTTGCCGTAGTCTTCACATCCCAACTCCCGGCTGCAGAAACTTCCATGGTCTACCAAGCTGCAGAGTGATCTGCAGCAGACCTGGCATCTGCCACGTCCACCGTGCCATCGTTAGGATTGCACGGTGGCACGACACTCCTATGACGTCGCCGGGAACAAATAGACGAACCACATTTGGGGATGCGGTAACCACGTTAGTAGAAGCAAATTTTAAGCACCATAATTTGGCTAGCTCAAAGAATGTGTGCACACCCACCAGAATCGAGTCCAGCGAGGAAGCTGGTTGGGGTGAGCACCACCAGGGCGGCGACGGTGGAGTCTGCCACCTGGGAGGCCAGGCACTCGCCGCTGCCGACGCTGCTGGGTGATCGGTGCAGCTGGACGGATCCGTGCCACCTGCTGCCGGTCAGGCCATTGCAGGCCACCACCAGGCACTCGTCTGCAAGGACGACACCCGCTCAGCCATGCACGTTCGGAAGACCCGCCTCGAAGCTGAGCCCGTCGGGAAAGAAAAGGAGAGGGCTGGCCTTTGGCCAACACCTCCCGACGAGCTCTTCTCCCACTGGAGGTCGCAGCAAAGGCCACAGACTGGACACATGTGCTGCGCTGGCTTTCTGCTGGGCCCTACAGACCTCTCCAGAAAGAGCTCTCCAGCCGGCGCCATTTTGCGACTCTCGCAACCCTTATCAGCTAGAAATTTCTGCCACTCTCCTGGGCGGTAGAAACCCGGTCAGCGCGACTCTACACCACAATTGTATGTTCGGAGTTCACCGGCCTTTCTTGAAAGCTTTTACTTTATCTGCATATTCGGGACGCTTACATTTTTTGTGTTATCTTCTACTGCAAAAAAAAAAAGAACAGAAGGGCTCATAGCTTGCTCCGTCTTTGCGGAGTGAGCTATGAGCAAACGACGTTCTCCGAGGATTATCTCCGCCGAGATAATCTATTAAAAGCTTTCACAGTCTTTATGAAACATAGCACATTGGGTGCTGGGGTAACAGACAGTTTAGACACGTCCGTTCCTTTGCCTTGATGCTGTGCGAAGAGCGAGCTCTCTTTAAAACGTGCCCCAAAACAAATGTGGATTATGTCCGATTGTCGTGAAGTAACTGTCGTCGACACTGTGGATTGGATATGCTGCGTTATGTTAAATAAACCCTGTTCAAATAAGGTGGCACCGTGGCATATATACAATATACTGTTCAATTGATGAGACTCTTTGAATTTTATGCTGTGAGCGGGCAATACCCATGCCCTTGGGCTATTTTGTGTGATCACAGATTTTCAACAGTTAAGACCTCTGTAGATTGGCATGCTGAGTGTTTGGCGGCTTGAAAAATCTGCGTAAAATGAAACAAACATTCGAGTCGCATTCGCTCTGTCGCGCACGGACTAACTAAAAATTGTTTTTATTGTTTTGTATTTGTTCCCAGAGATGGTAAGACACATTCTCAAAGGCCGCAAGAAATTCCGTCTGCCATAAAACACACAGTAGCTGCCACCAGTGTCAGGAATTGCACCTACGCGACTGCCACAGCCCACCGACGAGAATACTCATGGCCCAGCGCATTCGGGCAACACCGACAAACACTCTCAAAACCAGGAATGTGCGCCGTAAATCGCCCGGTTCGAAACTGCCACTGAAAAGGTCTATAGAACCGCTGCAAAATGTGCAGTACCACTCGTGGCACCGAAAGGAATGCCGGGAATGCCCCCTTCAGAACCGGTCGCAGCAGACGACGGAGGTGACGAAGGACATGCACGCAAGCGGGCGAGGGCCGCTTGTTTGCACGTCTTTTATTTGGTGTTGCACGGTAAATACTGCGGGACCAAGGAGGAGTACATCGAACTTCGCACATGTGGCAGGATTTTTGCGGAGGTCTATTGACTGGGCACAAGTTCTGGCCAAACGATGGCAGCACTCGTGCCACATCTGCAACCGATTGAATGTGGGTCCCAGCCAAACGCAGATGCAGTAATTGCATCCGTGTGTAGCGCTTTGGTGAATTGTGTCGCATTACATGTCAACTCCTGACTTTGGTTGCCGAAAGGGTTGTTGCGCAGTGAACGTCAAAGACAGATGTTAAAACAAGAATGGGTTTACTATTTACGTGGTGTGCAAGAAGCCACTGGTGTCTGGGTAAGTCGTCGTTCCTTCTTCCATCTCCCTTTCACATGACCGTTTTCTCCATCGTCGTGTTCTTTATATGCAACACGCGGTTGACGCGAAACATCAAGGGTGCTTCATAAAAGTGCAATCCACAAAAACAATAGTAATAATTGCTAACTAACCCCCCCAAAAAAAGAAAAAAATGTTTGCTTTTTTTGCAAGATAAGGTAGGTTGTGATTATGATTACTGGTTTTATGATGCAAAACCAACCTGAGCCATACTGTGCCAACACACTATTTCAAATTATCTATGGTAGGCGACACTGCTCACTGTGTGGAACACGTCAAGTGATGTGTCAAGTGTGCCTGGCCAATCCTCAAGCGGCATTATACTAGTACTTGATTTGTACTCAGTGGAGGGGGAGAGGGGCGGCATATTACCCAGGAGTATAGGGTCGCAAAAGGCAATGCTGCCCATACCGGAGCGGCTTGTGTACCCAAGACCTCGCGGTAGGGTTCCTGTGGTGGGAACTCTACCAGCAAGATTGTCACGTTCGTAACTTAGTTACATCTCAAGTTAGGTAACTGTAACTACTTAGAGTAACTTTCACAGCTCTGTAACTAGACCTGAATCGTGAAGGGACTGCGGGCAGGCATCTGCGCTAGCAGCAACCTCCCCCCGACAAATCGTTCAGCATGTGCGCGCCCGAGCATGAACGGGCCCCACACTCATCCGTAGAGAAGACTAATTTTCGTCGCCCCTCGGAACCTCTCTTCTATTTCGTAAGAAGGCAACAAATGTGCGTGCTGCAGAATCGCGCATGTGCTCCGAAACGACAGCCGTATTTCGCGCGGCTTTTGACCAGACATTCCAGTCCAAACCAAGATTGACTCTTCACCTTTGCATAGCTTGATGTCATCGATGCAGGGGCCTTCACTGCGTTCACCAGCCATTCTGTCTGCCTTTATATAATCGACAAATCTTGACTTTGCTTCCACCACGTTTCAAACAAATGGCACTTGTTTATGTCTGGTTCTCAATTTGGCTACCTTCGCGACTTGCCGCTTCCTCGGATAGTTGGCTGTTGGCTTGGCTACTGGCAGTGGCTACCAATCGTTGGCTATTGGCTATCCTATTTTTATCAAAGTAATCCAATCCAATCCGTGAGAGCAGAAATGGCGGTGCGGGGGGCGATGGGTTCGCTGACGTTGGTCTGCATTTTACTTCTACTCGTGGAGAAAAGCAGCGTAAGTGGCCGCGAATATCTCGTCTCTTGAAGTTTTGGCAGGTTCCCCATGGGTGTGACCTGTGTTCATCACGTTACGGGTCCAACTCTGTATGGAACCTGCCGGAAGGCTGCGCGAGTCGACGGGATATTTTTAGGGGGTGTGCGAATTCCGCTTCGCATCGAAAAGAACAGTGTCATTTCCAGCTTCAAATAGAGCAGGTATTTCGTTGCTTTATGTTTCGCTGTAAGGGCTGTTCGGTTCTAGCCACTATTCGCAAACCTCTAGTAGATGTTTTATGTCGTAATAGAGTGGTGGTAGTACGCGGTAGTCACGTCCATGGTCGGTACTCCTCTGTCATCTGCCCACTACGTCATCACATCGGCATAGAGCCTGCGCCGCAGGCCTTTGTGGTGTGGTTGATACCTGCCTTTCTGCGATGCCGCGGCTCTCCTGTACCTACTTTTATAAGACCCAATACATCACGGTCACATTTGTTTGTGACCATGTTCGAACTACGCAAATTCGTCCGAGCCAAAATGCCAGTGAGACAACGAAAACAGTCTGCAGTTTATTTATCCTTGGCGGTTTGGTGCGCGGACCCCGAAACAAATACCTGACGGGTGAAAAAAAAAAAATGTTTCAAAGATTATTTAGAAAAATAAACAAACCAAATGGAGCTCAATTTTAATGTATTCCTGTGATTATGGATATCACAAGCATTGTGGTACACACTGGTGATGGGGCTGAACAAACTGCTTCAGTGAAAAAGGGGGTGAAAGAGGCAGAGAGGAAAATGTGGGAGGGAAGAATGCAGGAGAAATCAGCTCTAACAGTGTACAGGTCACGAAAGCAGGACATAAGAAAGGAAAATGTGTTTGACAATTCTTCTTCGCTGTTCGAGGCGAGAACGGGAGTTTTGAGGACGAGGACGTATTGGGCTAAATTTCAGGAGACAGCTAGACACAGTATGGGCTGCCTGCCATAACGAGAGCGAGACACCAGAGCACTTGGTTTTGAAGTGCTTGGGGCTTCGCCCTGCCCTTCCTGAAGGGGTAACGGATTTGGCCGGGGCCCTGGGTTTTACTGGTGACAATGGAAGGATGAGAGAGAAAAGGATTACAGTGACAAAGAGACGATTAGAAGATTGGTGGAAATTATCTAGGGAAAATTGAATTATGGATAACTAACTAGCACAGCTGGGGACAGGCGGGACAGAGGAAAATTGGGACACCCTCCCGCGTGACTCCGGCCCAAAGACTCGACCCTGTTTCCCAGTGGGTCCGGTGCTGGGGTAATGCCGACAAGGTTTGACCAGAGGAAAATTGGCGACTCCCTCGCCAGGGAGAAGAGGCAGGGGGGTGATGTTTTTAGTTTTTTTTTTCTGCCCGCTCCCCCGAAGGTCGTCCTGGTGATAGTTAGGGGGAGAAAATTGATCTTAGGAGGGCGGGAGGAATCATATGTTTTTGTCTTTTTAGACTTAGGCTAGGTGGCGCAAGCTACCATCCCAGAAACAAGCAGTATTTCAATTACGAGTATTTGAAATACTTATTTCAAATACTTTGTGTATTTTGCATTTGTATTTAATTACAAATTGGGTAATGTATTTGACGTGTGTATTTAAATACTAAAACGTCGGTATTTCGAATACAATTGTAATTAAATACAATTTTGTAGGCAAAAATACATCCCTCAAATTTATTCAATGTCCAGACCAGGAAGAAAACTATGTTCTGCACCGAATGAAGTGTCTCTCAATCAAGCACAAACATTTAGTGACTTTGTGATTACAGTGCTAGTCCAGGGCGAGAATAGTGACAAAATCAACGTTCACAGGCAGACTGGCTAAATAAGTGCCTGTGACAACTTGTGATGCTTTCCAGCCTGATTTCCATCCATATTTTTGCCTGGAACATTCTAAATCCGCGGGTTGTCCAGATTTTCGTAACTGGTGCGAGTTGCAACAATAAAAACCTCTAGCTAGTGCTGCGCGTCTTGATCGTCTCGGTTATTTGTTGGTCTACACCAAAATGTAATCGACAAAAAAGCTGCGTGCAGCTCTGTACTTTTTCAATCTATTACGTCCAAGCTGATTACATTTTTTTTGTGATTATATTTCTATCACGTTACTAGAGGCTCGCACACTTGAGTGTGCGATGCAAAGTTAAACTGAGATACCCAGGAACCCGTTGCAGGTGCCCTGAAGTCGCTGACGCAAATTTTGAGGAATGTATTTGGAAAAGTATTTGGAGGAGACCAAATACATTTGGTTGTATTTGTATCTTGTACTTAAATGCTTTTTTGGAAATGTAATTAGAGTTGTAATTAAATACATTTTCGGCGAAGTATTTTGTATTTGTATTTCGATACATATTTGCATGTATCTTGCCCATCCCTGTACCACCCGTTAGAAAGGGTGTAGTCATTAACATCCATCCATCGACGTCATACCCAGATGTTTCAACTGCCTTGTGCAAGCCGCTTGAGAGTAAACGCGTGCAGCACTTTTGACTGCTCGGTTAAAGCTTGCAGAAGGCGTGGAAATGCCTCGATCTCCTTATAATATACGTCGCAGTTCTCTCCTTCCACTGAACGCGACAGGAAGCTTCAGCGCTATTTTGAGAGCTCTGTTGTGGCTACTTGGTGCATAAGTCTGAAATATAATTTTTTCATTCGTGGTCCTGGAGCCCAGGTGAAGACAATTTAAGTGTTTATTTCTCAAACTTGGAATCGCCTCAGTTTTTCTTTAAGAAACGCACGGTTCGGAATTGTTTCTTGCCTTGTGATTGACCCTTTGACGTTCCTACCGGTCGATGCCGCAATTTGATTGGCTGTGGACAAATAGTAAGATGCCTTGCATATGTTGAGCTGTGGGCGAGTGACTTTGTGGCTTCAACCTGTCCAGCTAGCTTCAGTGCTGTTCGGTGAGGATGTCGTCTCAGCTGGTTGGTGTTGCAGGCCCAGTACGAGGATGTGCGCTGTAAGTGCATCTGCCCAAGCACGGCCGTCGTCAGCGGCGGCATCCAAACCAACAGGAAGCTGTACATCATGAACGTCCCTCCACGGAGATGGTGAGTGGGCCGTGCGGTTGATTCGGGCCGCAGGCAGGACAAGGGCTTCCGCTCTAAGGCCACACATACATTGCAGCGCCAATTTTATAGTTACTACCTCACTTGCCAAGAAGACCCATTCACATACCCAGCATGATTCAACTCGGCACTATAGACGGACTGCTGACCTTGTACTTGTATCGGAGCTGTACCAGTGCTCTTCTCAAAGTGACCCAGCTTTTTCCTGTTTACATACACAATGCAGTACTTATTCAGCACTGACATGGCTGCGCTGCATGTGTGAACCGGCCTAAAAAAAGTGTCAATATTGCAGAGATGAGTGGTTTCAGTGACATCATTTCTTGTTTTGTTGTAAGGATGTGTTGCAGCGTTTGCGATTCTAGTGACTGAGATAGACATGTTTGATGGTGTGTGTGAGGAACACTGTCGAAGCACTGGGCTTGCCCCAATAGTGTAGATCTTGTTTTTCTCAGAATGAAGTTATCTTGGTGCAGCGGGAGACAGAATCAGACACGCTGCCAAGAGCACTTCTGTTGCCTTCGTAAGATCCCATGAAATTGATCTCACTGTGGTGAGCTATCTTGCAGTATTGCAAGTTGTGAGGAGGAAACCTCAGCAGTGAGATGAGGGAATATTGTGCTAATTCGGCGCTAAATAAGGCACCGTAGTAGAGTAGAGTCCAACGACCCACAGTCCCCTGTGAAAGTTAAAAAAGCCAACTTGGGAAGTTGCACCTTACTTAAGACAAGAAACAAAAGAGCGTTAGGAAAACCGGGAGATGAGACACTGCAAAATTGTTGATGTTGTGCTTGCGCAGTTGTGGCTGCTTTCCGAGTTGAGGACAGTGTTATTTTGTTTTGTTTCTTTTCCTTTTTTTTCCCCTTCTCGTGGCTGGTAAGGGGGAATGCCTTAATGCTGTTCCTTTGGATCCCTCGATTAGGGGATTTTATAAGAGGGGTGTAGAAGACGGTTTTTGCTCTCCAACAGTAATACCAATATCTGGACTGGAGCGAGCACTGTTTAAAACCTAGCGCTTTGGCACTTTCTTCGGTACTCTTTTTTACCAATGAATTTTTTGTCCAATGCTTCCTAATTACAGGAGTGTGTTACAGGAATCTACATTAGACTGCGAGGGGCCCGCTAGAGCCACCGAATGAGTTGCACTTCCGAATATCTGACACTCCAGCCATTTCGGCGCTTAAAATTGCAGTTGCCAATTATCTGAAGCTTTACCTGAAATCATAGGATGCACTTTCCTATCGTCAAAAATGTTTAAGATAGTCAACAACAGGGGAAAGTGTCACTTTGGCTCTCTTACACTGCGCCTAAATCTTTGGAATTGGGATTTTCTAATCATAAGTAGCTCCAATTCTGCCTGCTCTGTATATGGAGCACCAAAATGGGAAATGGTGGCGCCAACAAGGCAATCCGGTAATGCGACACCCGAAGTCATGGGTTCTCAAACCAGGACACTTTCAAGGCCTCCATCCTTGGGTCACCACCACCTCCATAAAATTTGACCAACGATAATAGTTAATGGCGTGGAGACTCCGAACGTTACCATTAATGCTTTTTAGGCCCATTATATTTCGACAAAGGCGTCAAATCTTTGGGTGTAGGAGACGTAATACAGCACTTATCATTTCAAAACGCCGTTCGATGGCGCACCCTGGTGTCTGCTCCAAGGTGCAGAAAGGAGGGTGTGTCACAATCTTTGATTAGATTTTTAATAGAAAAATCTGCCATTCATGAGTGTAATTTCGTTTTTTTAGATTCTTGGAGCTCGTAGATTGAATCATCACTATAAATAGACAATCTCAGAACCCACTCGAGTGCCCCTTTGAGACAGCAAACATACGTGGGTCGTTAGGATCATGCGTGCAGATGCCCGTGGTGAGAGCTTTTTGGAAAGTTCTTATGGCTCGACCGACCGAAGGTGCGACTTTGGGCTCGTTCAATCTACCGGTGCAGAAAACTGCAGGGCAGCGTACTTCCGGTACAGATTTTAGGATAGGATGCACTCGTAAATCGAATACAGCAGCGCGCACCGAGCGGAGGCACTTTGAAAAGTCCAACCTCCGATTGGCGGGTGCAGCAACTGCGAGGGGGCCATCCTGCCCCAGGCGACGGACATCAAGGGCCGGGAGAGCGAGTTCTGCCCCCGGTGCATGTGCCGCTACGAGCGGCGCAACACGACCACCATCCGGGTGCTGGTCATCCTCATCATCTGGGTCATCTCCCTGCTCACGGTCTACATGCTCTTCCTCATGTGCCTGGACCCGCTGCTCAACAAGCGCAGGGCCGCCTACCAGGAGCACGTCAACGAAGAGGTCAACTTGGTGCGTACTCCCTTTCTCCCTGCCCGCAGCGCCGCTCAACACCTCCTGGACAAAAAGGCCGTCGTGCTAGATTTTGCGTGGAGGTCGGTGCGGGGCACGGATTGGATGCTACTGCTGCATTCGGCTGGAACTCGTGTGTTTGGTCAACGAGGATGCAACTCTTAATGAAATGCTGACGCCACAGTTACGCCCAACCTGTGCCAGACTGAGACATCTAGGAAGTGTTGCACCGCCTGGCTTCTCTTTTGCAAACGGGCAGACAAATCATCGAGCAATGCGTTGAGTGCTGAGAAACAGAGAGAGAATGCCTAGTTAACATTCGACGCTCCAACCAGGCTTGACGTTCTGACGTCCCTGCGTGCTCTCGTCCCCCCCCCTCTCTCAGTTTCTCGGCACGTGGGTTTTCGATGGTTGGAAAACACATACAAGTTACTCAATGACTTCTCTTAGAGCTGTAGCCTGCTGCAGGTTAAGAATAGCAGGGCAAGCCCCTCCCACAAACTCTCTGCTCACCATGACTAGTGCTTTCCTCCCCTCCAGCGCTTTCTCTGCTGAAGTGGAAAGGGTGGAGGGCTTTGTGGGAGAAGCTAATAACCTTCAACAGGCTGTGGATTCATCAGTGTTGCCTTCGTGTCATCTCGAGGGCAGAACGAGCTAGAATTCTACACTCGGCGACAACTTGTATGTGGTACGTTGTCGAGGCTAGCACATAGTTTCCGCAGCGCCGTCAAACCTACTTGCGCCAGTGCGCGCAGATGAGATGCAAGACTCGGTGGAAACTAAACTGGCCTTGACAACATAGCACAAAAATGTTAACACCGAGTATAATGTCCCTCTTCGAAGCATTCTCCTCTTACTGAGTGGCATAATGTCAGATGTAGAAACAATGCCTCATTGTGAATTTAGAGATGCTTGTTTTCATTTGCATACCAAAGGGCACCAGTGTCTTGCTGCGATATTTGATTCCTATCTTTCTCAAGTAAATATAGTTTCTTTGTGTTTTCATTTGCATACCAAAGGGCACCAGTGTCTTCCTGCGATATTTAATTCCTATCTTTCTCAAGTAAATATAGTTTCTTTGTGTTTTATTTGCATACCAAAGGGCACCAGTGTCTTCCTGCGATATTTAATTCCTATCTTTCTCAAGTAAATATAGTTTCTTTGTTTTTGATGAGTCAATGAGGGAGGGTTGGTTAGAGAGTGAGAAATAGAATCGGAAATAAAAGCTCTGAAAAAAATGTTTTACTTAGACATAGCTCTGAACCTAAACTTGCCATAATAAAGTTCAGAGGATGTTATAAATAATACTAAGTCTGCCATGCTGGTGCTCTGCTGTTTTCTCTACATTGATGCCAATTTAATGGCTGGTGCTGCCATAGCTAGAAAGGTTCTCCCAGTTCAGTTTTCTAGAGCAGTAAACCTGCAAACTACAATCTTGACAGAGCTTCGTCCAACTGGGAATAATCGAGAAAACCTGCATGCGAGGGGTTGACACACAAGTCTCCTTTCTTGTGAACAGTGGAGAGTTTAGTAGAGCATGTATTATACATTCATTGGCTCAAAGGGTAGGAAATGGAAGTGGTTCACGGTGGATCTCATCAGTTTTGACGAAAATTCACAACGGAAAACAGCTGTCTTTCTGTATGACTCAGCGAATTATGCATGCCTGATGCTGCTTATAACGAAGTTTCTCGTACTGAGGGGCGGACGAAAAAGAATAGTCCTACTGCCTCGTGAAACTACTGCGTGCATTGTGACAATAAGGACATCCAGGCAAGCCCCAATCCTCGGAGACGCGACGTTTCGAGGCCTAATCGGCCCATTCGTCAGGGGCGACTATGGCTGTCGAGGATTAGCATTCTTTGCTATGCCTATGGCTTCAATGGCCATAGCTATAGTCGTCCTCGAAGAACAGGCCTTGAAACCCCGAGGACTAAGACTTAGTTGGAACCCTTTCTCTAATAGCTCCCCCAACCAGGCAGTTTCTGTCCAGTGTTTACGTTGAAGTGTATTGTGACGAATCCGTTCGAGAGATGCCCTTTGAGTAACGCAGTGTGTGTCCTGCTGGAGGTTAAAGAAGGGAGTAAAGTGCAGAAAATCCACCCCTGAGAGAAGGAATGAGAAAGAGGCAGAAAAGCATAGAAGGAAAGCCGACGATACGTTAGGCGTGTTCTTTTTGCCACGACTCGCTAAAGTTGCACAATTTGTTCTCAATTTTAGTTTTCTCTTTATACAGTTCTCGTTGCCTGTGTTTTCTTGCAAAATAAAACTAAAATACCGGGCACCAACCTTGCGAGTGATAGAATGGACTCGCCACAATTCAAACTCGGATATTTCACACTTACGGTTAGTTCAAACGAATTAAAAAATTTTGGTTGTCCCGCTATGTTTTCAATGCATTTATAAGCTGCTTAACTCAAACAGCGTTTTCCCTTAATTCACGCTATTTTTTCATCGAAGCAGGTTAGCTCCCGTCGAGTGCGCTTCTCACCGAGCACCTTTGTACTGTGGGAAAGCAATACTCGCGAAGCTTGCGAGCATTGCTTTTTTGCAGTACGCGAATGCTCGGTAAGAAGCGCGCTCGGTGGGACTAGCTCACCGCGATTATGCAAGCAGTACCGTCCTGACAGCGTGCTTTCATTACTCTTGCTTGTTTTCTTACTTTTCTGGGGGGGTTAAATGCCAGATGAAAGAAAGGATATTTGCATATAGCAAGCAGATTAGTAAATCCCTTCGCTTGGGGTAGCTGGACGTTTCTCTTTAGGTTTAATTTTATGTCAAATCTGTCATTTACCTGCCACCTCAATGTAAGCATTGGACTTTCCGAGGCCACGGTTCATAAGTATAGTTATATAAAACTAAATGAGTGTAGAAGCGGACAAGTGGAAGGTTGGGAACAACCTTCTCGAGTTCAGCAGCCGAAATGCACGTGGAGTGGCAGACCTCTGAATCTAGATGCATCGCGTGAACTCTGGTGTGTGTGCGTCTCTTCAGGACGAGGCTCTCCCGATGCAGCAGCGCACGCGTCGCTCGAGCAGCAGCGTGCTGAACAAGGTGGGCCAGCAGCAGGACAAGTGGAAGCGCCAGGTGCAAGAACAACGCAGGAACATCTACGACAAGCACACCATGCTTAACTGAGAGCCCCTGCTCCGGGCCTTGCCACGGGGACTTTTTGCCCTCCACCCGCCTTTCTATATTCGAAATCGACTTTTTTGCGTCGTGTCATCGAGGTTAGTGTGGCGCATTTGCTCGAGTAATAACTGCACTGCTTGTGAACAAAGCCTGCACGTCCACTTTCCCGCTCGGCGTGCGGGCGGCCAATCGTCGCAATTGACAGAAGGAGCCCGGCGATATCCTGCAGATTGCCTTTTTTGAGAGGAATCACTAGCTCGTTATTTGTTACATTTCTTACGTAGAATGTGACGATTGGCTGCGGGTGTACCCTGTGGATGTGCAGGGCCTGTTTACTAGCGGCGTGTCGACTACTTGAGTAAATACAGTCGTTTTCGTGCTGCTTCGATGCTGTCGCAGTTACGCGCACAAGCATACTTCTTGGTTTGGCATCTTTTTTGCGCACGCGTGTGAACGAGACGCAGGGTGAAGCCACGCATTCTTGTGCAGCTGTGCGGGGCTGCAGCACCATGAAGATTATGCTATTTTCAATAACCTAGCACAAAAAGTTGGCACAAAGTTCAGTGGCAGTTGTACGGGTCATGTGGCCTACTGCGGGAGGCATCTTTCTGAACTCTTGAGACGTTATTAATATTCTGTGAAACTCTTTCTTTGTGGATTAAGCTAATTAATGGGAAGAAAGGGGCTTCGGGGTTTAAATTGCACTTTACCTAGTCACTTTTCTGTGGGCGGCAACACCGCTTTCGTGTGGCGATGCGGTGCTCAAGTGAGCACAGTTGTCTGTAATGAATGATTTCTTGAATGGTGCATTATCCTCGTGGTTTGCTCCATCTTAATTATTTGGTTGTGCACCGGCTGTACGCAACTATGGTGCGGTGCCCCCATGGTTTGTTTGCACGTGGCCATTTTTGTTTACCAAACTTGTTTTGACGGGGCATTCCTCGGGTTCACATCCGACGAGTCTAAGGGGAATACGATAAGGACTGTGAAGGTTGCTGCATGCTGTAAATAGTTGTACAGTATCACTTTAAATATATTAATTGTTGCACGTGAGGTAGTCTTTGATGAAAATAGTTGTACAGTAACTCTCTAAATACCTACATCGATTGCTGGGTGTAAATGAGCGTTTTGATTGAAATAAAATTTGAAGTCTTTTGAGATCACTGTTTCTGAATAATGTCCGATTCTTGACACGAGCTGCTGAGCCGCGGCGCGTTCACACTCTGTCCCATAGCCTGCAGCAGTGCAGAGATGCACAGGCTTCTACGAGGCACATCCGCGAAGTACTGTTTGCACATCAGTCCAACTTTTCTAATCACTTTGGAGTTGTACGTGTGCAGTTGTTTTGAATGCAGCAAACGCCAGATCATGCGGACAATTAAACATCCATCGCCAACTTGGTGTAATTGAAAGTGCAGTGAGCAGAGGAATGGTGTGGAAGTGGGTTTGAATGGTGACTGAGTGTGTGATGCTGTCTGGAGTAGCAGGCTGCCACTGTAGAGTTGGTGAAGGGAACCCAGCAGATGCTCTGCTTCCAGCAAATACTTCTGCCGGGCTTTGGCTGCAGATGCAATGAAGTGTCATCAATGGCAGAAACCTAGAGCCGGAGCATCACTGGGTCCCCGCTAGGGCAAGCGAATGAAAAGGACAACCGATGCTTTACAACCTCTGACCTTGCAACAGGTGTCCCCAAGTTTCAAAATCATTACTTCACCGAATTGTTGCAAAACACTTCAGCAGTGCAAACTGTTTTCACGACGGATCGTGAAACTCTTGCCCTCCTCGGAGAAACCGGGCTGGAGGTTTCTACCTTCTACGAGGGGGTATTGTTGCACCACAATGTGCACGAAAGCAGGATGGAGAATAAAAATAAAGGCGATTTGAATAGTGATTTAAATCAAACTTTTCCTGCAGAAAGAATCCCAAACGTTTAATTATTTATCCTTTGTCTATCATTCGTCCCTCAAAGAAAAAAGAAAAAAAATGAGCAGAACCTCTTTCCACACTTTCGATTTACTAAGTATTACAACAACAAAAGTTTTTTGTTAAAAAAAAAAAAAAAAATGAGCTGCTTTTGTTCTAATGCAACATTATTTGCATCTAGAATAGAATGTTCTCCGGCGAAATATGGATGGTCATTGATTTGTATAAACTTTTCCCGTGCACTAAATATTCACACCCCCGGGTATGTATACAAAATATCTCGTCAAAATAATAATTTAATTTCGAGAAAAAAATTTTGATATTTATGCATACATCTTCGAATTTCCAAATCACTGGCTGCCGCTCTACTGGCAACAACGAGCAGGGGTGCTTGCGACGTCAAATGTTGCATCCGAGAGCAGATGACGCTCCCTCCTCCACGGCGTTGTTGGTTGCAATGCAGCAGAGTGACATCTCATCGGTTTCTGACCAGAAAGCCTCTGCGACGGATGGGGATCCAAGCAGTGCGATGCGAACGCTGGCTCCTGGCATTTGTGTCATGCTAGAAAACGGTTTACACCGGGCTAGCAAACTTAACCCTCCATACGATTCTGCTTCTGAGGCAGCACCTGGGTTCAGACAAGCTTGATGAATCGTAGCCTATTATTTCCCATGGACGATAGCGACAAAACTTCCGATTGCGTTCGACTCTGGGTGAAACATACTCAAGCTGCCCATGTTCATACAACATCTGACGCCACAATGAGATGGCAGACGAGTAAAGTTGCAGGTTAGTTTCGATTTTGAAGTATTTTTACGATTACAAATTATTTAAAAAGTTTCGGGTAATTTACTTGCTGCTCTAGGCTCGGCTCTTCGCCCCCTTTAAAAACATGTTTAGTTGAAAACGTTTGAACCGACGCCGGAGTTTCCCTTTAAAGGGACACTGACAGGGTATTTATGCTCGTCGAGATTTTTATTTGAACATGATGTATGAGGGCCCAACTACAAAAACAATTAAATAAAAACCCAACACAATTTGCGGTTCAAAATTTTTTTCTTTCTGCCACTCTCTTTTCCATGGTAAGGTAAGGGCTTTGAAACTACTATGGGTGCCAAATATATTCAAAATCATGGCTTACCTAAGGCACACATTCAATATTAAAAATAGAAAATAATAGAAACTCCATTCTTGTGGCCTCCATAAAGCCGCAAATACATTGATGAAAAAAAGAAATGTTGGACAGATCACAGCCAGTCAATATTATTAGATTAGCTCAGTTATGAAACTGCTCATAGATGCTGCTTGCACGAGCAGTACCCCGCACTCGCTCACCACTGCTGTGTTCCAAATCTTACCCAAATGGATCCGGGCAATTTGTGTCGCGTGACAACACAGACTGGAGAACGCTGGGTGCGGGTAGGTTTTAGAATGCCATTGTACAAAACCCTTACCCTAGAGTAAGATAGAGTAAATTTTGGAACACACCCCATGACTTGTGCTTGGTGCATGCAACTTTGTCGTCTGCATCATGCGCCAAAGAAGCGGAGGGGAAAAAAAATGTGGTCAGTTGTAGTGTGATTTTCAACCATAAACTTCCGTGCTCGTGTTTTGGTTTTGAGAGCCTAAAAATTGTAGCGAGGGAAAATACACTCTTTCTTAAAGAGGGTAATCTAAAAAGCATAATTTGTATTTAAATCCAATAAATCTTATTAATTTGATTATTTTTTAAATCGTGATTCTTATCCACCATGCATAAAAGGATTAAGGTTATGCAGAAATAAGAATTAACAGCTCACAAACAAGCTTACTTGAGTTTCTTATTGCAAAACACGACCTACTTTTTGGATGTGCCTTGCGCACACATTGGTTACGTTCCAACTTTGGTGGGAATCTAGGGCTGCACTCACTCTTACATTTTTATTTCAAAGTTTTGCCAAAAGAGAAAAGTGCTAGAGCAGGAGCTTGTCATAATTCAAACTGTGTTCCGAGACATCTGTAGTGAATGGGATGAACACGTCACTTGACAAATCCACAGCCTGCGTCTTTTTTAAGAAAACTCTTTATTGAAATCTCCTTGTGCATTACAACTAGTTCCCCTGCAGTAAGAACATTTATTGCTCGCAGGGCTTAGTATAAACATGAACTAGAATATATAAAGATAGTTGAACATTCATATCACCTAAAATTTATGATCCTTACCCGGCGATGGAAGACTCTTTTTTTAAGTCGTAACTTTTGTAGACCTCCGAGTCAACAACCATACATGATATGCACAAGTCTTCACTATGCTCTGTCTAAAGCTCAGGTTCGAGGAACTGCTCCGAGGGAGCAGTGCACTGACACCACTGCCTAAACACAAACGAGGGGGAGCGAGAGCCGCAGTCAACCAGCCTCCTGCCAAACCTTTCAATCAGTCGCAAAATCAAACAACATGTCAGTAGAGATGGCGTCGGTGCTGAGAGAAAACAACATTTCGGAAATATATTCGACACAAGGAATCCGCATGTTTTGAAAGTAATAATATGCTATGACAAATAGAGACAATGTGGAAGCATGGTTTCATTTGCTCGTAAACTTCACGTGAAAATTGAAGCAGCTAAGTTGCACTACAAATTTGGACAGACCACCGACACAATATATGCAGTCACACGTGATGGTACAAACAAAATGAAATTAGTTGTGGATGTTAGTAAAACTCGCATTATAAACCATTTGGAAAATCCACAAAGAAAGTTTCCCACTGAACTGCATATAAATGTTTATGATCACTTTTCCTAGAGCCAGGGCGTGTAAATGGCCACTGCTGCACCCCACATTATTTACAGTTTATCAATTAGTCGTGGATCGGCGTTTCTTCGGGACTTTACGGTACTACTAGCCAAGAGACCCAGTCACCAAAACATTTTTAGAAGTGCATATACAAATAATTTGGAAAGTTAGTATTCAGACATGAAATAACAAAAAAAGTCAATGAGAGCAGTTCAAACACAAATCACTGGGAAGGCTCTAATCTAGAACAGCCAATATAGCTCACTCAAAATGACAAGTCATGCTGATAAAAACAGTGTGGAGACGAGACTTTAAGTGCAATTAAAGTGCTACGAGCAGACATGGTGGAACACACTGGCCAGTACCTCTATCTCACTTTGCCATACCAACGGTACGTAGAACATGAACTCATCAGACTGATTTAGTGCGGTTTAAGTATGCATAAAAAGTGTGCTCTATTCACAATACGATTCCTGTCAGTTTCAACTCGAGGTTTCAAGTCTTCGTTTGCTCAGGACCTGAGGCCTCAGCCCGTGCATAGATTATCTCGATGTTTACGCAAATCGGAACGGGATGAACCTAAGCCCGGGTACTATCTTAATGCTACTGCTCTAACGACCAACTACAGAAAAATAGAACGGAGTAATAAATACGGCGCATCACATGACAACACAACCAATGATGTGTTGTCTTTCATATCTACAGTGAGATTCGATCCACCAAAGGGGCAACTGCCACAAGGGGGAGGTGAGGTACATCGCACATATCTTATACAATGAAGCAGCGGACCTTCATCTTTTCAGCGTTAGAATTCAGGTGGAGCTCATAAGCTCCCAGACTGACTTGGCACAGGCAATAAATACCCTTGTCAGCAAGGCTCGCATTGAAGTCGCATCGTCTGCCACACGGCCTTTCTGCTGAGTACATACCTTTCACTGCACACATTTTGAACCGTAGTCAAATTTGTTCTTTTCGGCAAGAACATTAAGGAATAACCACCAGCACGGTGCGACGACGTCATGTGCAAGCCGTGTACAGAGCACACTTGCGAACTAGCATTTTTGTGCCAAATATAGCAAATGCGCACAGGGCAAATGACTTTTTGAACTGTGACTCATTTTTTTTCTGTAGCTGCATTGCGCATACCTGAAGATGCGAAAGATGAACATGAAGAACGTTAAGAGAGCATTTTAGTAAGGCTAAAGTCTGAGCAGAGGCCTGCAATAAGCTAAAATGAAAAAAGTTTTCAGCTGGTTACGTTCTGCACGAATTTACGTGCTCTCCTGATCTCGAGTGTATTGCAACTTACCAAGAATGAAATTGATTTCTGAACTAGCATTTACCCGGTTGAGACGATGTGACAACAACCCACAACACTGACACGACCAGCCTCATGTGCCCTGGTTTCTAGTGAATCTCAGAAATAAAAAGTCAGATCATCGTAGCAGTTAAGGAAATGTCGTCCCAATGACTTCTTCGTAAAACAAGTTATTTTTTTCCAGCATCATTTAATGACACTATTTGAAATTATTACGTTCCTCCCTACACAACAGTCTTGTTTGTTTTTTTTTTGTCTAGGGAATACTATGATAGGAGCTGACTTACAAGTTCGTCAACTTACTGAAGTGATTAAGGATTCTTGTTCTCGATCTCACGAACAGGCCTGGAGCAAATGACCTTCGGATATGCCAAGACGCAGCTGTCGCATTCCTCAACCCTCTGGCAGTTGCCCCTCCGCGATATGGAACCAACTGGCTTTGCAGCCACCCGGTGTAGCAGTTCACCCAGTGGTGAATCGCTACAGATGCCAAACACTTGTGACAGCACCCCGTAAGCTCCTGTTCCACAAGAAAATACAAAATTCGTGAAATAACCGAAATGGAGCAAAAGTAATACCTACCGTAAAATACCGCTGAAGCACCCACTTCGTTCCAAGAGCCCACTACTAACATTTCTCAAAACTTGGGAAGTCTGCAAATTCTACGTCAAGTACCCGATTTGACTGGACAAGCACTCGTGTCTAGATTAACCCAATTTTCAGTGAGAGTGGACAGGGCGCTCCTCCGGTATTTTACGGCAAAAAGCTGCTTATCTTCGGATGGCCGATAAATATTTTTTGCGTGTCTTCATTATGAAGGCTTCAGAAACTAAATTTGAGGACATGAATGAAGACAGTAACGAGAAACAAACAATAGCTGGATGTGCGTACAGTCACCAAAATTAAACAAGAGATCGTACCTTGGTAAAAAAAAAAAAAAGTAAACATCAAAAGCATAAATGTCACGAAATATCTAACAAAAACAGTTGTGTACTCAACTAACTGCAACTCACAAACAACTCCACTTCCAGTGGAACTCTCATGATAAGGGCACAAGTAAACGGTTGCCTCGAGAAAAAAAAAACACATGTAACGAAACATTGTGGAATAAATATAGTCAGCCTGATCATGGTTTTGATCATGATAATCTCTTCAACATAAACTTAGCAACTGCTATAAAGCACTTTCCTAGAGTCCTGAAAGTGCATCAGGACTATCAAGTCTCAGATGACCTTTTCCAGCTCACGTGACCTGTATACGAGTAGAGAAGAGTATCCTGTAGTTTGTTTTGCCACATACTTCACTTCTGGATAGAACCTTGGAAAGCAACAAAAACTGGCAAACAGATAAAATCAAGAGCAAAGTTGCCACAATACTGCAAGGCAATAAGAATCTGTCAACGGAACGCGACTATGGTGTGGTGAAAATTAAGCTTCTCGTAATTCAGTAAATCCTATTCGAAAATGAAGATATTCTCAATGGCCCAATAGGGTAGGACTGTCTGTGATGTCAGGAGTGAAGTTTTCGTGAAAGTTGAACAATCTGCTTCTTAAATGCAATTCATGCTTATGGCAATAAACATCACAAGTGTGTCCACACTTACAACCTTGACCTCTTAGCAGAAAAGCCTATTTGAACTGTGATGAGACAAAACAGAGAATCTAAAATCTGTGAATATTTTGCTTTACTGATATCGTTAAGGGCACAAGTAAACGGTTGCCTCGAGAAAAAAACAACAGACGTAACGAAACATTTTAGAATAAATATAGTCAGCCTGATTGTGCTTTTGATCATAATAAGCTTTATGCCACGGTCGTCATCGCACAATACAACCAGGTCTGTTCACAGACCATGCAAACATTGCACTACTAGTACAGGGCGAGCAAAAGACTGCTCCAAGTCAGGAAAATTACTGTCTAAAAACCGGCGCTCAATCTGGTTTGGTCTCAAAGAGCCACATCCCTTCATTGGAGATGGCTAGGCCCTTGGAAAGGTAGCGTTGCATATCTGTTAGAATGGAAAAAGGAAAAGGGGGCGTGCAGGGAGCAAATCAAAGGAACAGAGAAACTTGTGCCCATTCAGACTGCTCAGGATACCAGTTCCACGTATGTCCATACGTCATGTAAAAGTGATTCTCAAAAATATACCTCGCCGCTCAAATGCACGTATCTTACACTGTACAAGCAGGTACCCCCGTGCTACGCCGGTAGAAGAGTACTCGCTCTGTGCTTGGCAATAATTTGTGTCTCCCGCTGGGTTTTGGACGCGACGTCGAATGCTCTCATGTCGAGCATGCAGGGGGCTGACCCCTTTTGAACGTCCGTTCTCTGTCCGGACTAGGAAGCCCAGAACGTGTCTACGACCGGTGTGTTTAGCGTCTCGTTCGGCCCACGCATAAAAAGTGGTCCCAAAACGGCAACAATCCACGTCACAAAAGCCAGAGTGTCACGCTGTCAGATGTGATCCTGGCAGTGTCTCGCAAATGTTCCAAAAAAAAAAAGACGCTTACAATTTTCTGCATTTCCGCATTAGAGCACAGCTCTTGAGGGGGAGGAGGGCAGGGTACGGAGTGGAGGGTATGCCCCTCCTCCATACCTTTCCTCCTCCCCCTCCCTACTGACCATCGTGATGTCACTCGTGAAGGCCTCCTGAAGGTCGTGACCTTCACTGTGAAGGTCACGACCTTCATGAGTGACCTTCGTGATGTCACTCTGATGTCATTATGGGAAACGCCCCATAATACAACACGCGGTTACGCCGATGGCGATGCCGCTCAAGCCGGAAATGGGCGCATAAGAGCTGTGCTCTAAACAGTAAGGTCGAGTGCTAATATCGCCGTCATCACACCGTACCAACTTCCGGTTGCCAAAGCTTCTCTGAACTGTTGAGCTGGAGAGTGACCTGCAGCAAAGTGGGCGTCTACCGCTGCTGCTGCGACGCCGTCGGGGGGGGGGGGGGGGGGGGGGGGGGGGGACACCTTGATGCTTCTATGACGTGGCCGAAATTGAGGAACCGCTTTTTAAAATGTGATAAAGAGAGCAGTTGGAGACGCATTCCAGGCACCGTAGTCGAGACATGTAACGGCCTACCACGTGACGGCGGGCGCAAGACGGCATCCAGGCTGCTCGTCTAGGTGTGCTGCAACTTCCCCAGCATCATTACCGGGAGTAGTTGTGAACTTGCATAGGACTTTCGAGTGGGTCTACGCTTGGCACGAGACCTAGGGGCCAGAAACTGCCCAGGGGAGTGCTTCGGCCCGACGTGCCGCAACACCTTCCGGTCACATGTCCTTGCTGATGGCTGGCTGCGACCCCGTGGATCCGGAGGACGCAGCAGGGCCGGAGTTGCTCTTGGCGCCGCTCTCTTTCATGTGTTGCTGGTACCTGGAAATGGGGGGGGGGGGGCACCGTTGCAGACTCGCATTTCTTCCATCAATATAGAGCGGGAATGGAACCTTTTTAAAAGTGTGCGCTCCCTAGTGTCTGCTGTGTTCACCGTTTGAGGCCGTTGTATTTTGGGCGTGCACTTTGAACATGCACTGAACGCAAGTGCTTCGTGAGTGAATGTGCTGCATGAATCAAATCGCACGCTTTGCACAAGAACCAATGCCCAAAATACGGCGGCCATCAGTGTTGTTTGACCTACCTTTGAAAAGGGTCTATTTTTAAAATGCATTGGCACAGGGCAGTTGAGTAGTTACAATACTTCCTAAAATAAAGCACATCGAGGTACACCATATAACAACAATTGAAGATTCTAACTATTCTTCTGCAAATAGTGCAGTAATTCTGACGACTTGCACTGTGGGCTGTAGCAAATTTATGTATTGTAGTACACAATAAGTTTCACACAGCCCCGACTCATTAGCTACTGTGCCTGCACTGCTATTTATATGTCCTGGAAGGCCACAATATTTTATTTTAGGGGGGGAGGGAGGGGGGGTGTACCATGAAGATTGCATGCGATTAAATTTTTATGCTTTTCTGCATAAAAATTTCTCCAACACGTTCTCCATCCAAGGTCACGTGACCCCCCAAAGTCACGTGGCCCCCGAGGTCACGTGACCCCTCCTCCCAAGTCACGTGACCCCCCTTCCCCTTCTCCCTTCCTTCTTCTTCTTCCTCCTCTTCCTCCTCCTCCCCCCCCCCCCCCCCTCCCGAGGTCACGTGACCCTTAGTACCCTTCCCTCCTCCTCCTCAAGAGCTGCGCTCCAATTCGGCATTACAGGGAGTTGTAAACGGCTTGCATTTCTTGTTTGTGTATCGTTTATTTATTTACCATACATACAATGGTCCTGGCCAAGGATCAGTAGTGTAAATAAATGAAATGTGTCCCAGGAAAATAATATGGAAGTGGAAACCTTGTCACGTGAGCCATCATGTTGTAGAGCCATCGTTGTAGAGCAACTAAATATGGTGGAGCCAGACTACCGCCATCAACTCCTCATTGGCAAAGAAGGGGTCATATGTGCCGAATGAGTTCAAAGCGCCTGCGGGAAAGCGGCTTTGCGAAGTGCCAGGTTTGGGATGGGACTTAACTTTTACTCTGTGTTTGTGAGATGCAGACCTTACACTAAAGTATGACAAGCAGGAAGTTTCTTGAACCTTTGAACATTGCATGTACCAACAGGATACTGTGTAGTCATATTTTTTTTCTAATGACAGAGACATTTTAGGACACCAACGCGGAAGACAACAGGAGCAGACAGCTTCCCAGCTGCCGAGGCGGGAAAAGCATGACAGCGCTTGCGCAGTACGCGTTGTCGTGCCTATCCCATTTCTTGCGAGGGTGACGGTCCCTTCCCTCAATACCTGAAGTAATAAAAATTTGGAGACCGCTGGGATATACAGACCCTGCCCGGCCTTCGGCACCCACCTGCGTATGCGGTCCCTGACGACGTCAAGGTGGGCGGCGATGTAGCGCTCGTGGGGGGCCACCCGCAGCACCTTCTGCAGGCAGGCCTCTGCCCGGAGCAGGAAGCCCCGCTGCACGTGCACCACGCACAGGTTGTGCATTGCCTGCACGTGCGAGGGCTCCACGGACAGGATGCGCTGGTAGCACTGAAACAGGTTCATGTGGATGTGGCAGAAAGGCATAGAGAGGACCACAGTCAATCGGGACCTTGCAAATGACAAGCCGTGGATTTACCTATTGTATTTAGGATTGTTTGGTGGGACTTAAGAACTTGATAGATAACACGGTCATAGTGCCGAATTTATCCACCAGATTTATGAGTTCTGGTTAGATTTACCTCATCGTGGAAAAGCGTGAAAACACAAAGATGTAGAAAAATCAGATGGGACGAACGGTGCCTATCAACTGACAAATTTTTTTAAGAAGGCACACGAAAACAATCTTTCATTCTATGGCAATGCGATCCCGCACAAGCGCATTACATGACTCTTAATAAGACGGTAATGATGGGGTTAACAAAGCTGGCCCTAATCCAAGAATGTCATCTCACCGCGTCCAGCAGCGCCAATGATGGTTGGCTAATGCAAGATGCTTCCACCTTTCTTTTTTTTTGTACACCTCCACTATCTCTCTATACCTGTTTTCACCTCAAGAAGCATAGGAAAAAAAGTCTGGCTTCTCGCAGATGATTACTAATTTTCACCTTTAGGTGGAGATTTAAGGTATAGTTATTAGCACTTTAGAGTGGATGCATGTTATCTTATCAAGGAGTACACGTTTCAAACGCCAAAAGCAACGCCTGTGCCTCCGACAACCAAATCTGGCGAGAACTATTTCGCGCGGCGTATGAACAATGCGCAAAACTTACTGTTTTCTTGAGGTGAAAACGGGTATAGACAGCTGGTCTTTGTGCTTAAAAATGTCTTCTGTGTCACTTAATCTTGGCTCACACCCACAATCACGACAATGCACTGCAAGATGCGAGTTGCAAATGCTTTCGACTAACTCTGGTGCTCTGTTACACGGATGTTCCAGCACCACCTTGTTTGAATGATATACCTGCCCACATGTGAAAGGCACCAACGCTACACGGTACGAACTTTGTACCATGTTTCACAATGCATCCGCGAGTTTTTGGTTTTTTCTTCTTGCGCACTTTTCTACAGCAGGGCAAATCTGGCTCAACTTGTTTTTGGCCAAAAAAACTACACTCATTCCGTTTCTTAAGGCAACCCCCTTCAACCCATGCGATATGCGGTGAACGTAAGGAACGGTAGCCACCTTCTTTCTGTCGTCCATGTCTCTCTCCCCGCAGTCTCTCCCGGCATCTACCTTGATACCTTTCTTTACTTTTTCGCAAGCCGAGGTAATCGCTGGGTCAGGAATTCATCTAGATTTACCTACTAAATAGAAAACTAAGCCATAATGCCGATTTTCCCACGTTGCACCCACTGGAGGCCAACAGGACCACTGCATCTGCGTTCTCCTGGGACGTGTACTCAGTTCGAGAAAACATGAGTGCGAGTAAAATGCTGATGCAGCAGTCTTCCGTGCCCACCCGCTTCCTTCCGGTAGGCGACATAAAAATCCGGCACTATATCGCCTCATTATCTAGGAGGTGTTCATCACCTTGCTTGTTTTGTTAAAAAACGAGAATTTCCAAGTGAGAATGATGGGCCCCTTCTCCCATTTCAAACTTTGGGAGCGGGGGACTTGCCTGGAGGCAACGAACAGAGCGGGAGAGAAACCCTAAAACGTTTTGCATACACGCTAGAAGAGTCGCATAATCGTCTCTCCTGAATCATGTGCTTACCTCCTCTGCCTTGTCCACGTCTTTCATGTGGTTTATGTAAATGTCACCCAGAAGAATGAGGCCCTTGACATGGTCGGGATGCGACTGGCAGAGAGAAAAAAGAAATATGCGAGTCTTTACTTTTCCAGATCGTAGCAACTTACAAAACAGTGGTCAAACGTGGTTACCAAATGATAACTCTCAATTCACCTCCCCTATGAAGGTGTTGCGAATGAAGACTCATTAGCGCATATCCGACATCTAATGCTTTTTCTGTAGATATGCCAATGTTAATTGTGTTGGAAGAAATAGCTCAAAAAAATTAGTCCACGTGCAGCTAAATCCAGCTGGAACTGTCCCAGCTAGATCAAGCTGGAAATTAGATAATACAGCTGAATGCAGCTAAAACCAGCTCTATAATTCAGCTGAAAGTGGACTCATATTTTTGCTTGGGCTAAAGGTTTCCAAACATAAATTTCTTTTTATGTGAAAATAATATAGGCATATTGGACAGGGTTCCAGAGTGCTCAACTGTCGGCTGATCACCAGCGCCGCTGTCGCCAAATGAGGCAACACTGGGAAGGCTAAAACCAACAGCACTACTGGCCTGCGCTTGCGAGATGACGTTTCTATTCCCAGCTCCGAGCGTTGTGTTGTTGCACTAGGGCTTGCCCTGTGTGCTTCTTCGTTTTTTTGTCCCGTCTTTTTTGCGCTATTTTTAATATGAATGTCAATTACCAACTTGCTCAGCAGATCAAGCTTTTACTACACAAACTGTTTTCAAAATGTATCAAATGCTAAATATATTGTGTGTGCAGTTGTGTGTGTGGTACCTAGCATTAGGGAGTTTTACTAGGTGCCTTCCTCGATAGGCTGAGACAACCCAAAACGAGAACTAGCAGAACAAAATTGAACACCCAAATATTACGGGCAAATTTCAATGAAACCACATAAACCGAGTATTTGAGACATTTTGTGTTTGTTCCTCTTTCATCTGTCGTCCCTGGTTTTTAAAAAACGTGAAACAAGGGCAGTATTTTTTTTGTACGTTGTCTGCACGTGCTTCAAAAGCATGAAAGCAAAGACTTTGTCATACTTGCATCCTCTAATACACACTTTTTTTCCAAATAAACCCTTCCCACAGAAATAGCTGACCTCGTTTTTGGGATCAGCTTGTTCCCCGTCCCCTTGTCGTCGTGTTGAAGACGATTGTGGTGTCTGAGACATGTGTTTTTCTTGCGAGCTGGACGTAGTTTGGACGGTGTCGTAGCAGTTGCTCGTTGCAAGGTGATGATCGAACTTGGCGATTGAATGTGTTGTTCTCTTCTCACAAATAAACGCCACAAGGATAACCCTTTGTCGAGGGGTACACAGATTCTTATCTCTCGAGTAGACTGTTTTTTTCACAGCAGGCACGAAAGTAGAACCGTACGTATGGCTCGAAATAGAGCAGCTATTTTGGGCAGCTATGCATTTGCACTAAAGACGCAAATGACAGTCCACCCTGCGACCGGCAAAGCAAAGAAAATGCTTGCTCGGGTAACTCCGCTCAAACTACGCAAATGTGTGCAAAACGTCGTGCGAATGAAATCGGTCTGCGGAGCAAGGAGCGGTGACGACGTCGAGCGATTGATCCGACACTAAGGAGCCGTCGAATCGAACCCAGAAACAAAGTCGCACTGTGAGCGCGTAACTCTAAATATTGAGTCAAATAGCACATTTAGATATCCATCTTGAGTCGTGTAATGTGAACGGTATGCTTATTTGACACGTTTCATGGCATTTATTTATCTTGACGGCACTTTATTTCCCACAGCCTCGACGGGAACCTGCGGAGCTTTATGCCTGCTAAGCTTTTGTGGTTTGCGACAGTTTGGCACGCAACAGTGCCTACAGCTTTGATGTTTGCTCTTCTTGGACATTCAATAGCAATGTTAAGAATAAAAGACCATGAATGCACAAATCAACACCTTCAAAGCGACGCGCAAACAGCCCCATGAGCGAGCAGGCTCACGAAAGGGCCTTCCCAATATCGAAAATAGTTTGAGTTAGATGGCACGACATGTCGTTGCACCAAACTTGATTGCCTTGAGGCTATGAATATACAAAAATTAAATGCACATCGAATTAGGATATTTTCAACGATACAAATATTTTATTTGTTTATCAATTTCTTGCCTATACTGCCCAGAAGGCTTTAGAGTAGGGGCCCTGATACGACCCCACTACAATGAGTTGGGTAAAACATACTGTGACGTGGCACGCGAATCAATGGCTACCATATATATATTGAAAAATAGCTCGATGTTTTATTTTTTGGCACTGTCCTTTCAAGTCTAGAGTCAAACTACAATATTCTAACTAAATAATACCAATTTTGTTGTGTGTTTGTTTAGACAGCCAGAAGTTAGTCTGCCTCAACAGGCGTCTGGTGTCTCAGCTGTAGATGAGCAGTCTAGCCAGAGCGGCACAAGCTGCAGTACAACCGCTTGCCTGGGGTCTTTAATGTGCCCCACGCAGAAGTGATACCAGACTGCACGCCAGTCCAATGCTCATCCAGATGAAACAGGGCAGGGGTGGGAAATGAACCCAGGATCCCTGGGTGCTGTAGCGCGAGCTTTCGCTCCATGTGCACAGAGCTGGTGTGTGTTAGCCCACTCAGCTACCGATCCCCCGATTCGAACTCAAGGCTGACCTACAATTGTGAGCAAAATTTCCAAGGGCACTGAGCTAAATGAGATGCTCCAATTTGTTGGCCATTTCACTTAGCATACCGGTGTAAAGCAGTGAAGCTTGACGCCTGTTAATGCGAAGCTTAATGCAAGAAATCGGAGAATTCTGGAGATGTTAGTGGTAATTTTTGAATATTTGGAAAGCTCCAATATCTCAAACAGTGGAAGTGCTGAGAATTGAACTGCATAGAATATCAAATGCTATATTCAAAGTATTCCATATTTTCAAAACTCGCATACCTCTAAACAGAAATGTTTGGCTATACAGTGTAGACCGCATATAACGTATGTCTCGGGAGTCGCGAAAATCCGCACTATAAGCGGTACCGCACTATAACCAAAACATCAATTTTTTAGGCCAAAATACATGCCACGAGACAACTTACCTTTCTAAAAGAATTTATTTTATGTTAGATAAAAAATAAAGCTTAGTTTGAGGAAAGTACAGTTCTGTCTCAAGTGTGTCACACATTTTGAAAGAAATGAGCGGCATTTGCCTGGCGCAGCCTTTTAACGGCGTCGCGGGTTGTGGACGGACGTTGCGAGCGTTCAGGATTGCTAACCCTAATCACTTTTCTCCGGAGATGAAAACGCGTGAAAATTCGCATCCTTCATACGGTACGCGCCAGTAATACCTTGAACTTTAGCACACGCATGAAATGCGCCAAATAAGAAATCCGGGCGATGTTCGAGGACACAAATGCTTAGAAATCACCACTGTAGTCGAAGTAAACAAACACGACGACACGGGCGTTTCTGCCGTCTTAAGAGCGCCGCCACGACATCGCCGCACGAGTAGGTGGATCTTCCCTTCTAGTACGTGCTGGGTTATCATAGCGACACACAACAAAAATTGACCGTCAAGGATAGCGCTTTTACGCAGAACGATGAGATGCATGCCGTCTACGACGACGATCACAACCGACGCCATGTTTGCGGAATAGAAGCAGCCGAGTCGCGACCGGCATGCAACGCGCGCGAACACTTCTCGACCTGCGATTGGTCTGTCGTTGCAATTGTTCGTTTCTTTGTTTCCAACGCAGCGGAGGGACGCACGCACGTGAACGACTCGTGCGCGCGTCCCTCCGTCGCTATGGCAACTGAAGCCTCTCTCTTCGCTTCTCCCCGCGTTTTCGAGCAACCTCCTTGCCCCGCGAGTGCAGCTTGTGGCTCGCGCCGTTATCTAGTGTCGCACAGGGAAGCGAGCTCGCTGCTCCGGTCGTCGGCGCGGTCGGCGGGCTGTGCCAAAAACTGCACTATAACCGGTATTTCCCTTCGCGCGCCTGCATTTTAAGCGGTATGTAATTACATGGAGTTCTATGGGAGGTGAACCGGTGGTTTAAAAAAACCGCGTTATACCCGGTCCTGCACTATAAACGGTTACGTTGTAAGTGGTCTATACTGTATACTGACCACAAAGAATAAACCGTTGCCTAAAATATCATAACACGACGCCAAGTAACAACGTATCTTAAAAAAAAAGAAAAAAGTACTATGCGATTATAGACTTCAAAAAGTAGTGGCGAAGTGGGGATAGTTTTACTAGTTTCACGTTTTATTAAACATGACTTATATAAACCAAACATGAACCCAGTTGAAGCTGCTTTCAGAAGATTCCTTTTCAGGTTGATTTATTTAGTGGAATAAATTAAGTTCTATAATTTGTTGCAATATGTTCTGGTTTTCTGGTTGTGCATTTTGTGCACCTACATTTTACAATGCAGGCGCATAATCGCCAAACTGCCGCATCTGTGAACAAAGAAGCCAGATAGAAAACCAGACAACTGTTGTCTTTTCGTTTGGCCTCCGGTACCTGTACAACTATGCATAGGCAAAAATAAATGTTTGACTGATTGATTGACTGACAGGTAGTACCTCAAGTAGCTGTAGCAAGTGAGGCACGGCTTCCAGGTGCCTGCCAGAGTCGCTCAGGAGGAGAGCCAAGTTGAACAGGGCACTGCGGAAGTCGGCTTTCACCTGCGTCCAAGAACGTTGTTCATTTTAGCCCAAATGATTGTAAGTGAAATACAGAGTAGTATACTCAGGCAGAGGTTGGTAAGTTTTCAAAAAAAGCTGTTTAGAAGAGTTCATTGCACTACAGTGCCACACAACGGACCAGCTGTGTGCAGCCCCCAAAGGCAAGAGTGATTTACGATTCAACATTCACAAAGGTAGGACTGCCCACAAAAGTTGGTGAATTGACGGAGCAAGCTGAAACTTCTTTCATATGTCTGATTTACTGAACAAATTATTATTCCAAATAGATCCTGCATGGGTGAGCCCCTCCCAAATTCCGACGAAAAAATATGTTTTTTTGGTCTTTGGAAGGTGGGTTTGGATCCCATTTCCGACACTATGTTTGACAAAACATCTAGCTAAGTGCAAGTCTTTTTCCTTGTCTTTCCCAGACACATATGCAGTGCAGATACCACGCTATAAAGAGCGTCTGTATCACAAATCAGCTGCTTCGTCAACTTTGTGAAGCCTGCTGACTGAGGGAGAGTTTCAGAACTTGCTGTCCATTCAACCATTTCTAGTGGCACTTCTGCTCTGCCTTTTCTTAATGACTTAATGAATGAACCGAATCATGCAATGTTATCGCTTTGGTGACAAACAAAAATCGAGGGAGCCAGCGCAGCAAGCAGGCAGTGTGCGGTCGATCGCTGGCCAGTTACATTCACTTTCTCATGGTTCTCACTCACCTAAAAAAAACTGAAAATCTCGAAGTTAATTTTTGAAATGAGTACCACAGCTCTTTCGTGCATTAATAAAGTAGATTATAACATTTTTGCCTGTATTATCTGCCTTAAAAGAAATAAAGAGGTTCTTGAATTCGAAAAAGAACTGAAAGTTTTAATGTAGGCACTTTAAAAGTTGTGTGTCTAAAGCATTCTTCCAATCATATTAGCAGGAGCGTCGTAACAAATTTCGACATAGCCCAACCGATTGTGGTGTGCCGAGCGCAGGAGAGTGCGAAAGTGGAGAAAACCAATAAAAAAAGTGACGTCATTAGCAGGGTCAGATGACCCTTGCTCACCACTAAACTGGCTAGGGGATGTTGACGATGATGTTACGACGCTTTGGACCGATAAGGGGCGGCAGAGAATCTCGCCAAATGTCATACGGCAATCGTTCCGCATATTTTTCAAGATAAATGCAATTTACGCTTACTTTTGTCCAAATTGAGTGTTATAATTGAATTTATGGTGAAAAGACTATAGAAGTCAGCTCCTAAACTCAGATTTCTTGAAAAGTGCTTCAGCTTCCCTTTAACATCGCGTTTGACCGGAGAGCTGGATCAAAGGAGACGCACCCGGATGGCATCCTGGAACCATCGCTCGGCGTCCTGGGGCTTGCTTTCGTCCATCGAGAGCATGCCCAGGTTGAAGTAGACACGCTCGTTGGCCTTGCCCCGCTCCAGCAGACGCTCCAGCCTGCACACACGAGGCCTTTGTGGTTCCCCTGGCGTTTCCTCAGTACATGAAGCCTTATGTTCAGCGTGCTCCACACTAACTGGAGTGAAGGCTAGTGCACTGTACAGCGCTGCGTTCAGGCATACCTACATTTAATTCCCTCTTTCGATGATATTGCCACAAACAGAAAAGGATAGACACACGTAAAACTGAAAATAAAGGTTTAATCGGCAAAATTGCACCAGAAACAAAAGACTCAAGGTACACCTGAGCACCTCTTATGAGTTCTGAATGCAAAACCATGTACATCACACCAGTGTTGCGGAGTTGCCACTCCGGAGTTGGAATAATTCCAGAATCATTCCGCATTTTCGCGACCCCGGAATGGAATGGGAATGGAATGGCGGCAACGTTAAGGGGTATGAAATGGGAATGGAATTGAATGACCTTTTGCCCGGAATGGAATGGGAATGGAATGGGCCAGGTTCTTTATATTTTATTTATTTATTTATTTTTTACGTTCAGCTATACCGAGCCAGTCAGGGAGTCAGTTGTTCAGAAATAAAATGAGCGGGATACTGCGAACCCGCGTAAGGCCCTAACAGACTTATACGCAAAAAAATGCAATACAAAAAACAAGCGTCAAAGCAAAGAACAGAGGGAAGAGGGGGGGGGGGGGGGGGGGGCGGTGGCGCCTTTCATTAGTGAAGTTCAATACATATCCAAATGCGTCTGCTCCTGTGATATTGCACGGCTCAAGGGTATGTCATCAGCCGACGTGAACGTGACCCGCTGCTCTGGTGATCCGATACCCAGGAAGGAGGCCAGACGTGGCCTCGCTGTGCCTACCCAGACTTTGCACTCCTGCCACTCGTCTCGAGCGCGCTGTTTCTCGGAGAGCTCACACCTGTGCCGGTCATCTCAGGTCGCAATCCACGAGGTCCCTGCTTGAATGATGCTAGGCGAAACCTGAAGACTGCCATTCATGCGTTGGAGCCGGAGAGTCGGCAGGGAAGGACCGTCACAACAGGGATGCCACCGTATCGATTTTTCAACCGTAACAGAAGATAAGACATGTGCTTCAGGATGCTTCAGGTGGTCCACTTTTCTCCAAAATTCCAAATGCAACTGCCTGCATGGTCTTCAACGAGCAAACTTACAACGAAAGTATGTATTGTCCTTTCATACAGCAGCGTGGGTAAAGTTTCATGTTCAAGGCAACACCTACAGATACAAGAATACTAGTTCATCCCACAGTGACGTCATGTGACCAGTGCTGACAAGGGCACCCTTATTGGACAGGGGAGTGGTGATGTTTTGAAGGAATTTATTTAGAGGTCGAGGCCTTTTCGCATCACTGATCAGTCAGACAGGATGCCAGGGAAAGGACCGCGGGTCAGTCCTTGATCGAACGTTTTTTAAACCCATTGAGGACTCTTCGTCCGGAACCACTACCTTCAAAGCGAAGTGCCAAGCCTGCGGAAAAGTAATTTCGGGACCAAAAAACAAACGTTTGCTTCAAACTTAAAGCCTCATCTCAGTTGGCGTCTCAAAAAAATTTGAAAAATGCATTGCATTATCAGTATTTATATTTCTGCCCTCCCTAAAATGTGTTCTTGTATTTGTATTTCCAAAAAATTTTTGCCTCTTTTTAAAATGTATTTTCGATATGTATCGCGATACATTTTTACAGATATATTTGAGACTTCAGTGCAATATCTTAGCAACTATTTTCATCTATCCCAGTATTTGTGTTTCCAAATACATTTTTGAATATTTCTGCCCAACTCAGCAACGTAATACAGCTGTCAAGTGACACTTTTAACGTTTAGGAATTAGAGGAATGGAATTGAATGATTCCGCCATTCCTGGAGCGGGAATGGGCCCAGTGTCCCCATTCCTAGGAGTTGAAAGGAATGGAATTATCGAAAACTCTAATTCCCAGGAATGGAATTGGAATGGAATGGGAATGCCCATTCAGCAACACTGCATCACACTTCCTCTTCGTGCGCTAGCGCTGCGTGTCTGGCGAATGGGAGCCTCATTGACGTGCGCCAGCCAATGGGACCTCAGTGTAAAAAGTGCTTTGCACGTGTTTTCATAGCTGGGAGCTGGCTTGACTTGGAGAAAGGATTTAAAGCGCCATTTGGCATGGTTTCAAAGCTGATGACGTTGGCTCGCTCCATAAGACGGTTAATGCTTTTGCATTAAAAGAAAGAATGAGCATTGAGAAAGCAGCAGCGAGCGGTTAGGTGTCTCCCTATTACACTCGGTATCTAAAACATTCGGCCTAGAATGTTTGAGCGTCAAACTTTTGGGGTAAGAGTAAACGCGAATCTTCTAGAAGTATGGAGTAGCGTTCCCTCTCAGCCACACACGGCAGTATGAAGGGCCTTGCACCACCGTGGGTGTGTACAAACGCTAAGTCTGATGTACATTGTTTGTGGTTAGCAGCCCTACTGCGTCGACCAAAGTGACGCTCTATAGCGGAGGCATCAGACGCCACGTCTGGAGGAAGATTGCCTTTCAGTGAACTGAACGTCCCTGCAGCCAGCTTTCTTCGCGCAACCTCTTTTAAGTTGTCGGTGTGTCCCTATTGCAGTTCCTGTAGTGATAGAGAAGAACACGTGGCTTTGGCGAGCGTGGGTTGAAAGCAAGTTGAACTTGAGTGTGCTCATGCATACCTTATTCATTGCATAAGAAAAAGCCAAGCTCCCCTCAGATCATGGGGTTCTGGCACAATGAACAGTGACACACACTTCAAGACTAATGATTGCATGCATAAAAGAACAACAAACTTAATATGTAGATATAAAAGGAAATTGCTTGCCTCTGAAATGCCACCTGACGAAGCTTGGGACTGCCACTTTCCTGTATCACAATGGCCGAATTCATTAGGGCTTGCTGAATGAAGAAAGAAGAGCAAGAAGAAGGCATCATCAATCAGAACAATTGTCGTATGCGAAGCTGTTTTATAAATTTAATTTGTGTTAGGTGCACACTATAGGTGTAGAAATGAACAGTGAGAATTCCAACAGAAACAGAAGGACAAGCAGTGGTGTCAAGAACAAAATACTTTCATCAATTTGTTTACAAGCAGGTAATGAAATGAACCCGGCATCCAATAGCACGTGTGACATGTTTGCAGCTTTCTGGTATTTATTTGCAAGCACCGCATCTTAATTTCGGCTTTTTTCTTTCAAAATTGTGCAGAGGAGATCTATTAAGTGCAGAAACCTTATAGTTAGACAAAGAGAAATGAGTTACTCAATATGAGACCAGTGCAGGAAAGAATTTGATCTGTACATGAATAGAAGCTGAAATAAATAAAAAGTAGCTAAGCATTCTCAGGTTTGGAATGCCAGTAAACTCCGGGGACAGACACAAAAACAGACAGACACGCACAGCGTTCAACTCGCAGCAAGTCTACTCATTCTTTGGCGTGGTCTTAGGGATTACACCGGGCGTTAGCTCGTTAACAGTAAAATTTATCTCAATCGCACAAATAAGGTCAGTATACAAAAAAAAAGCCTCTCTGCGGCATTCTTTGAGTTCGTAACAAACTTCACAGTTATCTAAATTTTTTGTTTTGTTATACAGAAAGAAATTCAAAGAGAAGAGGAGATGAGAGGGTGCAGTGACATCAGAGGCTCGGAATGATTAGACATTAGGCATGGGCGAATAGAGGATTTTGGGTTCGAATCGAATTCGAAGCAAATAGTGATTTTGGCCAAATAATTTCGAATAGAATAGTTTGAATAGTACAAGCAACAAATACCACAAGATATGTTTAAACACTAGTTTTATATTTGCCCTTATTTGGTATTAGAAGTACTGTAAGTGTTAATTTCAAGAGTATTGAGTTCCGGAGCACAAAATGGTCGGAAGCTTGTGCCACCTGGCCGGAAATTCAAGCCAGAGTAAGTCAAACCCGTTTATACCTAACGTAGCGATGCAGGAAAGTTCGTTATGCATGTTGAGAAGTAGTGAAAGCGCACAATAAAGACGAATACGAAGACGGAGAGGCAAACAGGACGAGCGCTGACTATCAACTGAATTTTTATTGGAAAATAGAAACAGCAAAAGTCACAAATATTGCAGAAATGTGACTAGTCAGCAATAACTCAGCCACCACACCCGTTTTGCCGTTTCCGTTTTCCAATAACAATTCAGTTGATAGCCGGTGCTCGTCCTGTTTGCCTCTCCGTCTTCGTATTCGTTTTTATTGTGCGCTTTCACTACTTTTCACCATTTATATCGAACTCGCAAAAAAAGTCTACCAGTTCGATATAAAAGTTTGAATGAATTCGACTCTCAAAAATCCACTTTCTGCTGAAATATTACACAATGAAGTAGACTTGCATCTTCTGCTGCTTTTTCTTCATTGCATTCGCGATAACAATATTTTTCTTCGCTATCGATGGACTCCAAAATGCCTCGCTGCCTTCTATATTCGCGCATTGGCGCCAAACTATGTCGAGAGCACGGAACACGCCCAAGCAGGAGCACCTTCTCCTGCACAGCGCCGTTTTGCTCTGCAAGTTGGCTTTCCCCTAAGACATGTGGCTGCATTGAGGGAAGCCAGCGAAAAACACAAGCTAGTTTTTTTGTTTTCTTTTTGGCAATTGTGTCAATTGTTTGGAAGAAAAAAAAAATAATATTCTTTTTTGCGGACGGAGCGGGGAGAGGGAGCACGGAGCACTCTGTCTCCACTCCCTCCGCAAAAGATATTTTTTTCTTTTCTTCCAAACAATCAAAACCACCGCCCGGAAAAAAAAAAAAAAAGAAAAAAAGCCAGCGTGTTCTGCTGGCTTTTTCCCAATGCGGCCCCTTGCGTTGGGGGAAAGCCAGCTTGCAGAGCAAAACAGCGCTCTTGGCAGTTCGATTTATCGGTAGCGGCTGCTATTTTTGTTTGATGTAACCATAGTTTTTGCTATATATTATCACTGTAACATTACCGTGCAAAAAAATTGTTCGATATAAGGAATAATTCGATGTAAACGGGTTCGATATAGTCGGGTTTTACTGTATTTAGAAAGGTTGAATAATTTTCTATATTGTCTAATAATTCAATATTGTCGAATACTTAAATTCGATTCGAAGTGAATGCCGAATAAAACAGAATTCCCAATTGGCTATTCGTAATAACCAAATATTCACCTATCCCTATTAGACATTAAACCAGGGGTCTCAAACACGCGGCCCGCGGGCCGCATGCGGCCCGCGACTCGCTGGGTCGCGGCCCGCAGGGAACCGGCTAAAGCGCGATCCAAACCAACGCGTCTTTTTGCGGCTGTAGGTCGTGCGCGCCCCGGATGTGACGTATTTCGTGACGTTTTTGCTGTTTCCGGCGCGCTTTCTGAGTCAGAACCATGCGGTTTGGTTTGGACGGTGCCAGCTTCGGGCGAGCGCGCACGCACGCACGCAGGCACGAGCGCTTTCTGGCGGTGAAATGACGACCAATCGAAATGCAGCTTTGGTCCCGAGCGAGTGTCCAATGAAAATTAATCTGTGGGATTGTTGCGCTAATTGCGTCGGCGCCGCTGCCGCCGTCGCGCCGTCTTCGTTCCTTTGCTTTCGTGATGGCGTTTCGTGAGGATCCCACGTACGAAGCTGGGATTGCTGAGCTAATGAACCTTTGTGTGGTAAGGCAGTACGTCAGCAATGCAAGAACCGTCAACATGACTCGGCTGACTACTTTGGCGGGTGCCTGTGAGCAGTACTTGAGTATCAGCAAGAAATGCATGCTGTTGAGGTCTAGAAAGACGCTCGGCGAGTACGCCATCACTGCCGGTCACCTTCCTCTTTTCGGTCACCTTCCTCGCGTCGGAAACAGGGGAAAGTTCATAGATGCAGCAATACAGGCCATACCGCCATACTCGCAGGCAACTGCGAAGATAATCTGCTTGCTGCGGCTGCGGCTGCGCCACTGCGCTGGCTGCGCCAGGACGGTGAGGATATGCGGAGCATGCCCTCCACCGATTGGCCGGGAGACAGGAGCGCCCCACTACGTCACAGCGCGCTTCCGTGCACGTTCAGAAAGAAGTTGAAATCATCGAACTTTTTTATGCGCGCCCGGAAGGAGCGAAGAACGGGAGCGACGTCACGAAATACGTCACATCTGGGGCGCGCACGACCTACAGCCACAAAAAGAAGCGTTGGTTTGGATCACGCTTAAGAGTCCCGGTTCCCATGTCTCGAGCGCACGCGCCATCGTGATCTCATCTCGCCGATTCATTTTTGCTCGAAAATTCGCTCCGCTTTCTTAACGTATCCATAAAATTATTTACTTATCTTTGTTCATTTGCACTTTGCTTCGCTTTATCGTTTGCTTCCGAGCTTTTTGTAATGACAACAATGGCGGTACTAGGCTGCAAGGGCGAGCTCCTCGTTGAAGGATGCATCTCGGATGCGCAAAGTCTAGATCAGTAGGAGCAACTGCCGAAGATGAAGCTACGAGCCCAGAATTCTCGGCTTAAAAAAGTATCACCATTAAAAGACAAGTATGGGTGATGTAATAGAAATCATCAGGAAAGCAAGAACTGTCAAACTACTGATTGTTTTTAGAGACATGTTGAGCTTGGTTAATTCTTGAAAGAATTGAGCAACGAGAATGACAGTGTACTTGCTCTCTTGTTCTATTAAAAATAGAGCACGTTGGCGGGACGGCATCATTTTAATTATTGTTATCACATCAGGTCAGGGCCCAAAGTAGTCTTATAAACAAATCAAAAGTAAAAAAGGCACTGGCAAAACTGAGTTTACAAAATACATAGAGCACGAGGTGTGTTCTTTTTTAAAATCCTTTGAACCCCCCCTCTCTCTCTCTTGCCCCCCCCCCCCCCCTAAGTTTGGCCCCCGGCCTTCCCACTGTCGGCGATCTGGCCCCCATGCTCAAATGAGTTTGAGACCACTGCATTAGACGGTAGACGCAAAGCTAACTGCCTGTGTCTCTACTCGCCGTGAACACGAATGCCAATTGCCAGTATTCGTGTTCATTACTGCCTCTTTGGCACCCAGTGCTATCACTGCTTCTTGGGTCCAGTGGTAGTGTCAGGCTCACAGTCACGGGGTCACGAGTTCAATTCCCGTTGGGACATGTTTAGAATTTTGTTTTTCTTCTCAATTATGCATTCTTTTATACAGATTGTCCTCCAAAGTACACTTTGCAACGGTCTCCGTGACGTTCCATCTCATTTTCCTCGTCCGCATTAAAACCGGCCATGGCCAAGTTCGGTGGCGGCTGACATCCTCACCTCGTGACCCGGGTCCAGCTCCAGCGCCTTATTGAAGTAAGTCAGGGCATCGTCCGGCTTGCCTTGTTCCAAGAACACGACGCCCAGCTGCCAATGTCGAGGGGAAACAGAGTCAAGGTGCACAAACCAAGCACAATGTCGTTGACACCTCCCAGACAACGAGGCTGTATTGCCGGAGTTTCTATGTCACCTACTGGAGGTCACCAAGGGGGCATCAACCACTAGTCATGTGTTCCGCTAGACTTGTGCCCCCACTGATCCGACGCGAGTTCCAGTCAAACGCAACGCTTGGGTTCGGTCTGCGCCCGGCACCATCTTCCAGCGGAAAGTGTCTGGTACAACGGCTTTATTTTTAGCAGACGCTCATTTCGCTCGCTTTGAAAAATGAGAGGGAGGTGAATATTAGGCAAGTCGTGAGAAGCAAAAAGTCCTTCTGCTGCCGATTATCCGCGACAATGATTTATATGTACCATAAAATACCAAGCGAGCACCCACTAAAAGTTTTGAGATAATCTTAAAAAAAAAAAACGACGGAGAGGCACGCGTTAGGTCGGAAGTTGAAAAAACGGGGCTGCATTTCTCGGGTGCTTTGTTGCAAATGCTTCTCCTACGAAGGCCACGTTCTGCCGACTAAGCCGAGACAAACCTCTTTCACTGACTCTACCCTCAGTCGTAGCAATGCACCCAACACGTTACGGCGTAAGCAAAAATAATGGCGCTTCCGGCGCAAAAAGTGCTTTCGAGAGTATTTTAGTGCATTGCTTTCAAAGAGTGGGGCGCGTCTCGACCTAATTTGCCAATTATTGCCGTCCCGACGACAATTGTGGATCCAAGCGCGTGGTCCGACTCACGTTGTAGTGGATGTCGGCGTTGGTGGCATCCAGCTGCAGTGCCCGCTGGTACACTTCCTGCGCCTCCTTGGTCCTGGACAAAGTGACACGGAGTTCAAACCACACGCTCTCATCGTACCGTTAAGGGAGTATTTGCAGATGCACCGCATTGGAAAACCACTGAATTCGTACTAACACCCGCAAACTAAAGCCACTAGTTAAGTTATGCTTAGAACCTCGGCAGTACATACACTAACTGTCTGATGAGCGCTGTCGTTTTGTTGTCTAGTGCACAGTGCATGCAACCGGCGATCGCTGTGATTAGAAAATGTGACTTTCTGGGCTTTAGGTACCGTGTGGGGAAGTCGAGGCAATATCGTTTTGCTCTGTCCCAAAATGTTTTAACAATTGTGCAGGCTGGGAAACCGGTGCGTTATTTGCCCGCTGCACCAAGAGATGGCACCACAAGTTACAACCGTAGCTAACTCGATCGTCCGCAAACACGTCCACCATTGACCTTAGCAAGTTTGCTGGTCTCGTTTCATGCAAGAAAAGAGCTATGCCTCGATATTACGCCACGTAAAATAAACCGCCTGGATGCACGTTCAGTGAAAATTTTAGCTCTCCGTGTGGAGGTATGTGTCGAGTTTTCCGGCTCATATTATGGTGCCAGGATCCGTTGTGGAAACCCACTATGTAAATATACACCCAGGTATTTCAGTCTTTCAATATAAATGTAATGAACTAATGAAATATCCAGATGTAGGTCATTTTTCGGGACTGTATTCATAGAGCCCACAAAATATGTCTTGTCCGGTTTGCTCGAAAAAGCTGGACGAAGAAGCAAGCGCACTGCTTCGGGTTGCCGGCAGACGCAGCCATCGCTATCGGCAAACATTTGGCAGCATCGAAAAATATTTTTCTTACCCGGATTAAAGGTATGAGAGCGTACACTTTCATTTGAATACCGGAAAAAGTCGGCCAACGTGAGGAGCTATAGTTGCATGTAAAGCCTTAAAGGGAAGCTACGGAGCTTCTTGGAAAAAATGAGTTAGAAGTGAATTCTAGTGTATTTTTACCCCGTGAACCCGAATACCCAAACCATTTGCTGCGTAAGTATTGGTAAACGCGAGAAAAACGCGAAAGACAGTCGCTGTCCGTGACGTCATTGACGGCTCTTTTGGCTGCCCAAGGCTAGGGGGGCGGGGCTTCAGCCCTATTTTGAAATTGCTCTTGTGGCTCTCCGGCGCGTCGCATTGAAATATAATTTTGATATCTGTTATTCTAAAGGCCAAATGAACGCAATTCATGCGTTTTTTCTCAAATGTAAAAGTGCCCCATCTTCCCTTTAAAAAAAAACGCTACCCAGAAAAAAAAAAAAAAAAAAAATAAAGTTCTGCAAAAAACATTGATTTTGAAAAATTACATATTTACATCTACCAACATCTAGAGAGTATTTTCAGAAATTTTCACTAGTTTACACTGCATAGTTAATTTTTTATACATTATTTTCTCTCCACCAAAGCTAAAGAAAAGGTAGGGTTTGGAGCACTTTGAACACATTTTTCTCCGTTCCACTTTTTGGTAAAAATTCCATTTTAGTCAACCTATCGTTTGATAATGGCAATACAGGGAAGGCTCATTCTTCGCTTTTTTTGACTGAAATTTAATAAGGAATGCGGCTATGGAATGTTTTTGTCACTTTACAGATGTCTTTTATAAGAAATGTAGACATTTTGTCAAAGACACAGAAGACCAAAAAGTTGACCAATTTTGCAGAAGAGAAAATTCATAGAAATAAATTACTTTTTACAAAAAGCTTTCCGTAGCCGCACCTCCTAGGCATTCTGCTACATATCCAGCGAATAAAAATCTTGAATATCGTGATAGTTTTCCGACGATAGATTAACTAAACAATTGTGGGCGTGTTGCTGATAAAAGCTGCCCTAATTTCCTTCCCACTTAAGCGCAGACCGCATGGTGCGTTTTTGCTCGCGATTCAGGCGCGTCGGCGTCAAACTGACGTCATTTCCTGCGCGCGGGCGCGCGTTTTCGCGGGAGCGTTGGTTTCTAGCCGACCCAGAACAACACGCGCACGCCGAGGCGTCGAAGCGGCTCTCGCTCAATGAGGGTCGCTCGAACTATCACGTGATCCTGCACAATACGCTGTTTCGTATTGAGCACATTTCAAAGTGTTCAAAAGCATTTTTATTTTCCATATAAAAATTGAAAAGGTGTTTCTTGTGACACACAAACCCGTTTTATTTACTCATTTGTTCATTTAATTCTCATTTTGTAGTATTTGCGTCAACATTGACATCGCGTGTTGAGAATTCTGTTATCTGGCAGCGCTGATAACGCGCGGCCGGCGGTGCTTGGCTTTGTCTGCATGCGGGTGCCCCCGCGTCAGCTTCCGCGCGAGCGTTCATAGCACGTCGCGTTTTCGCGTGTAGAAAAACGCGCCATGCGGTCTGCGCTTTAGCCGACAGACATGAAATTTTGTTATGCACACTTCAGCATGGCCACCAGCCTACCCTGTAAATTTCATTAGTGTTAAGCCAAGGGTTCAAAAGTTCACCCTCCTAGGGGGTGTGTCCCCACAAAGTATGAAATGACGAAGAGAGGTACCGTTACCTACTGACATATTCCATAATTGAGAGAAGCTGATTTGGAACGCTTTATTTTCATCATGGATGTCCAAAAGACTGGCCATTCTTGCCACATTCTCCATGATGCAGGTTAGGCCAAGCTTGACAAGACATTTGACATCAATGACAGGATGCCCTCCTTCGAAACTAGGCTGTTCCTCGTGCTCACCTGTTGAGCTTGATAAGAATGTCCCCTCGGTTGATGTACGCTTGGATGTAGTCCACGCGCATGCTGATGGCTTGGCGATACAACTGCAGGAGTAGTCAAGGAGAGCACACATCCTGACGTGAGCCATTCGAATCTCAGTTCTCTCGGTCACTCCCTAGCTCCGTCCAGAGGCTTCTCAAAATGTGCTACTTTGCATTTTTTTTTAAAAACAGTTTAGAACATGCTTATTAATATAAAAGATGCACCGGAACTCAGACTGGTGCCTTTCAGAAGTGTCAACAAAAATAAATCAAAAAAATTTAAAGCCCTTCCACTTCACATGAAGATGGAGGACCAGCCAAGCTGTTATCTCTACGACATCTAGGACGATGACTAGAGAACGACATCTAGGACGACCTCAAGGGTGATGCCTAGAGGACGACGTCTAGGATGACCTCAAAGACGACTTCTAGGACGACCTCAAGGACGACGTCTAGGACGACCTCGAGGACAATGTCTAGGACGATCTCAACGACAACTTCTAGGACAACCTCAAGGAGAACCTCGAGGACGGCCTCAAGGACGATGTCTAGTATGACCTCAAGGATGATGTCTAGGACGAACTCGAGGACGACTTCTAGGACGATGCCTAAAGAAATTCCGCCTTTCCACTCTGGTGAAAACAAGAGTGGAAAGGCTGGAAAGGTTGCCAACATCTATGAGCGACAGCGGCAACCAGACAACTGGCCAGCAAGTTGTCTGTTTGCCGCCGTCGCTCACAGATGGCAGTAGCTGTCCGGAGTTTTGTGTCGACAACTGTTTGCCCGTGGACACAATATTGCGGAAACTAGCCCTTAACAGCTCCGCTGTAAAAAGAAATGACACCGGAGTATACATGCCCTGTGAGATGAAAAATGGCACGTCAGTCCATACAATCTGGGCCTAAATAAATTTTTATTTCATCATTACAAACAAGTACATAAAATCGCCTCGAAGTGGAGCACTGGTCGATTTATCGGTTCTGTGGCCACATCTTGCTCAGTGACACAAAACTTGCAAAGTTAAATTTTAGAAATCGCTTGAATTTTATTAGAACTAGAGTCCACACAATTAAATTCTTTCAAATGTTTAACATTTTACAGCTAACATAGTGAAGCTTTCCTTTTATGTGAAATAATGATTTAGATTTAAACTTGAAGTTTATAAAATTGTTATAAAGATATATTTAGGTAAAACTTTCATTTCATATTTACCAAAGTGCTACAATTTATTTCAAGCAGAGAAATGTATAAGCATTCGCCTTATGAAATCATAACTTTCAATATAATAAACATTTCTCTTGTTTACGTCCCTCACTCCATTCTCAACACTTTGTGTATCATACTTTCTGGACTATCGAACATTGTTCCTGCAAGAGCGATGATGTGTGACGTTACCGAATGTGAGTGTAATAATGCGAAGGTGGTAACCCTCCCCCTCGAAAGCGCACATCCGTGTGCTACACAATCACAATTTTTTTTACCACACCCACCTTAAAACAGCGCTTGCATCATTAAAAGAATTCGGTTACACACTGTTTAACTGGCACACATAAAAATCAAAGGTTCAAGAAGCTTTATGCTTATTTGATTTCAGTGGAAGACCTACATTTCGTGAACGCAAAGCGACAAGTACGTTCTGCCCAAAACTCGGCGCTCTGCAAAACCGTTTCTCTACGAGCGTTTCGAACCATCCTTCCGTGTGTGACCCCTCCTCCGCCAGTGAGGAGTTTGTGGCAAAAGAAAAAGAAGAAGAAAAAGAAAAAGAAAAAGGAAAGGTCGCTCTACTCACCCCGTCGGCTTCCTCGAGACGCGACCCGTTGCGGGAGATGAGGTTGGCGAGGTTGAGGAAGACGTTGAGGTGGTTGGGGGCAATGCGTGCCTTGTACGGCTCTCCGGGCCTGGGCTGGGGCAGCAGGTCCTTGGCCTGGGGACGGCGGCGGCAGGTGAGTCTCTACGCAGGCCCACGTTCGCAAGCGCCGCATCCTCATTCGCGGTCCCTCGATTTCCGCCCAACAACGTCACGATCGCATTGTCCTGCTGCCCTCCGCAACCCCCCCAGTTTTAGCACAGTGGCCCGACAGTCCACGGAGTTCGGCAGTCAGGAGACGGCTGTCCGAGCTGGCGAAAGAGTACTGCGACGACGGTGACGCTTGCCTACTTTGCCGGAATTTTCGCTAACAACCGCCGGCATTGCGGCACCCGACTGCACGACGTGCCAGTTCCTGCTACGCAATTTGTTGCTGCTTCGGGATCGCTTTCGATGAACGGGCAGCGTAAGGCGCTAAACACAACGGCCAGAGATGCATTCTAGGCACCATAGTCAAGCTGTTGTGTGCTAGACAGAAATCGGTATCGCACACTTCAGGTGCTGTGCACTTTTCTTTTTCTCCAAAAATGAAAGAGAGCTGCAACCCCATTTGCTGAGAATGCCCGATATTCGTCAGTACGACCTTCGATGCATTTGAGAAATCGGGCGGCGGAGAAGAGCCCACGTGAGAAGAGCTCACCGGAGACAAGCTCACAAAAACTCGCCGCAAAACCGTTAAAGCCAAGAAAAGCTGACTGACATTTTTGGAGGGTACGAAGAAAAGCTCACCCAAAGAATTTATGAATCGAGCATTTACTCCGCTGAAAACATTTGTTGGTCTGAAGTATGTTTGGATGCCATATGTGCATGTGGTTCTTCTGCACATCCCTATCAGATAATTTTTGTTAAGCGTGCCTCGTACACAGCCTAAGTGGTACGACGGGGATTTGAAAATAATTTCTATAGAATAGTAATTGAAAGATGGTTTGGGTAAAATATAACCAGTGCACCTTGTTGCAACTTGAGTTATTTCTGGATTTTGTACTACTGTAGTATTAAGTTAACTTTCATCTAGTGGCACACTTAAATTTAAGATATGCTAAACCTTCACATTTCACCATTTCTTTAAAAAGGTACACTTTCAATTCTAAGTCCTTCTAATCGGCAAATAAAGGAAGTTGATATTGCCTTCGTTGCGACTAAGTCAGAATTGGGTATGGCAACAGTCGGGCGAAAACAGTCAATGTGAAAGTGGACCAAGGGTAGCAATAGAGTGGCCTGCTTTGAAATGTGTACCGCCTGCTTGAGGAGTGCCTATGCGGAGAGCAAGTTCGTCTGCTTCTTGCGCAGGGGGTAGCGGTGACGTCAGAACGGCGAGCTTTGATTGGCTGATCGCGCCCCCCTATCTGAGCGTCGTCTGCTCCTTTGCAACATCGTCTGCTCGCGACATCGTCTGCGTCTGTCTTACGTTTCCTGCGACTTTCGGAAGTGCAGAGGCCAGATTCACGAAACGATCTTACGCCAAAAATGTGTGTAAGACAAAACTTTAGAACAAATTCGTATTCACGAAACGAAATTTTCGTAAGTTTTGCGCAGGTTACGGCGAAATCCTACGACAGCTCCGAAGCTGTCTTACGCACTTCTTACGATCAACTCAGCATGGCCGACAGCGTCGCGGTCGCGACGACGCACGGACGTTTATTTTTCTACGTGAGCTTCTGACGCGTCCTGACTTCAAGCAGCAAGAAAAAAGTAAAAATTACTTGAAACAGAGCACGACGAACAAGAACGCTGGATCCACAAACACCAGGGAAAAGCTCCAACGGTCACGATTCCACCGAGCGCGACCAAACGAGCTGGGCAGTTAGGCCTAGCAGGCACTCCGCGACTCGGCGACCGTCTGCCCACGACCGGCTAACGTGCTGAATGGAATATGCCCGCGCGACCCTTGTGAACCCTTCCCGTGTTATAATTTGATCGCTGACCTCAATTTTAGATTAAGAGGTCAATTTCTTCCTCTTGTTATCTCCTTGTTTCCGGAGGCAACGGTGACTCGCCGGTGAAAAAGCGGTGAGTCTCCGACAGACGCAGGAAAGGTAAAGCAGCCATCGCTTTGACTAGCAGACGTAAAGCAGACGACGTTAACTGCGCCAACCCGCCGGCGCCGTTAAAGAGTGAGGGGTCTCGCCGCACACGAATGGAGGGAAAAAGTATTTGGGAGGGAACCTGCGGACACTAACACGCTCACTCTCGGTTCTAAGCAAACAAACCTCGGCGCCCCGGGACACCTCGCCAGTGAGTCCTTTGACTTCCCTCCTTGATGCGCGTCTGCTAGTTGTTAGACTAAAACAACGTTATTCTCGAGTTATTTTGTCTGCCCTCCATTAAAGGCGCAGTCGAGTTCGCTCCGAAAGTCGCAGGAAAGGTAAGACAGATGCAGACGACGTTGCGAGCAGACGACGTTGCAAAGGAGCAGACGACGCTCAGATAGGGGGTCGCGATCAGCCAATCAGGGCTCGGCGTTCTGACGTGCCCACTACTTCCTTTCTCATGCGCAGAAGATGAAATCGAGCCTACTTGCGAGGCGTATAGGTTTAATTGCACTGGCGTAAAATCCCGTAAGGGCACCCACCCAAAATAAAGAGATAAACAGTGTATAAACATGAGGTGGACTATCTTTGAAGATGAGGCAGCGAAACTTTATAAAAAATTAATGATGAACACAACGCGCACCCGCCGCAAGCAACGTGTTATGGGAACTGATACCGCATGCAGATCTCGGACATGGTGAATTAGCGTTTCACAACGCGAGAAACGTGCGGGAATTTGCTACAAAATCCTGTGTCATGGAAAAGGATACTGCCAACTGCGGATGAGGCAGATTTGTGCTTCACAGTGCGATAAACAAGCGGAAACAGGCTAAACTTGTGTGCCACAGGAACCGATATTGTGTGCGCAGATCGTGGGCAAAAACATACGGGATCTCGCTACAAACTTGCATGTCAGGGAAATGATACTGCGTGCGCGGATCGCAGACGGAAACGCAGGAACTCGCCGCAAACTCGCTTGTCACACGTACTGGTACTGCAGATCACGCGGTTCATGTGATTCTTGTCTGCCTGACGGGAATCGGGGTTTGGGCAACCTTTCGGAATTTTAATGTTACGGATATTTAGCCAGAAAAACAGGATGGGTGATCTCTTAGGAAAGGGTGCCCTTACAGGATTTTATGGTGTAGTTATTAAAAGTTTAATAACCATCATGCATAAAAATTGTATTCAAAGTGACCTTTTCTGCAGCTCTGTCAAAAGATAGGTGAGTTTTCCTTTGGATCCGCCAAAAAGTGGGTGAGCTTTCCTTCGGTGAGCTGTTTTGCGTGGCAAGCTTTCCTTTAGGATTTGAAGGAATGAGATATGTGGGTGCAGCTTGTTTGAATGCTTTCTGGAGCACATGGAGCATTCCTATCTGCAGCATGTCTACGACCCAACTCTTCCAAAATACAGTAAAAACCCTTAGTGTGGTGCCAGGCACTTTTCGATCAAGTATCCTTGCCAACTATAACTGCAATAGCAAAATTATGATTAACAGCTAGGCCATTTCGTTTATTTCTTCCAATGATTTCCGGAGCTGGGCGACAGATTTTACGAGCTAAATTACAGTAGGGCGAGACAAGCAACTGGGTTACTAAGCCTGGCATGCACATCTTTTCTGCTCTTGGAAGTTTATTGCTACAAGGTTAACGATTACACTTCTTCCCAGAAAAATGTAATTTTTTAATTTTCAAGATGTGACTTTTTTCTAGAAATAGTGGTTCCCCATTCCCAGAGGGCTCAGATACAGCACAATTGTAGCAGTTTTAGAGAAGTATCTCTTGGAAAGACAAATACTGCACAATCCACTTTATTTGTACGGTCTCAATATTTTGCGAGTTTTGCGGAGTGTGAGGTTGGAGAAGAATTTGCAAGCGGTATATTTCGTGGCCTCGAGTGATAGTGCTATGGTACCACATTTACTCGCATAACGAACACACTCACATAATGAATCCACCCCCCACAACGGGCACCAATCTTTGGACTTTTTCTTTTCCCTCGCGTAATCAACGCACCTCCAATTTTCAGCTCCGCGAGTCTCAAATTGCGTCCAATTTCGCTAGCCACCAAGCCAATATTCGTTATGAGCGAGCTTCGTAGTGCACTTTGCCTTCGGCAGAAGGCAAGCGGAAAGCGCCCTAAAAAGGTTCACAATTTATAAAGCATGGTTACGGTGGGTGCGCCTCCATCAGTGGAGACGTGCCATGTGGCTTGCCGTGTCATATTGACACCTAATATAACATTTGCACAAATTTTACCCCACGTAATGAATGCAACCCCCCCCCCCCCCCCCCCCCCCCCCCCCCCCGATATATGTGTCAATTTTTCGGGGAATAAAGTGTGTTCATTATGAGAGTAAATATGGTATTCGTTACCACCAAGTAATATATTCGCGAGATTAATGTTTTGCAACATCTTTCTAATTGCAAAATTAAGGTCTTTGCGAAAACTACAAGTCATTTACACTAGCTCGAACTGTAATAGCAACCAGCCATGCTGAAACCGGAGCTCGGGCACAGAATCTGCTGGAGAGAGGATGTGAGTTTCCAGTCAAACAGGTTGCAGGCAGCTACGAAAGACCCTTTTCGAGCTGGGTTAGTGTTGTCTTCACACATCTGTTATACAGCCATAAATTTCCATTCCAAACATCATACCAGCGAACTGAGACCAGTAAAGTGACCCTTAGCTCAAAAGTAGAGGCCACTGCAATGCATCTGCATTGCAGTGGCCTCTAAGCTAAGAAGAAAAGCGGAGAAAACAAAGAAAGTGTGTATTTTTAGTCGGTACTGCATATTGCGAGGATTAAAGAGCAAAAAAACAAAGTGTGTATTTTTAGTCGGTACTGCATATTGCGAGGATTAAAGAGCCAAAAAACAATGGACAAGTAGAATGGAGATATAGACACCTTCACCCCAGGGTAATCTGGCTGGCCACTGTGCCAGGTGCAAATGCATTTCCAAATTTGCAAACACCACTATCTTAATGCAATGCCGAAACCAGACAGCAAGGGAGATACTACTGAAGGTTTTCCCGGAATGTGAAGCAAGGTGGACGTGTCTGTTAGCGCTCCCCGAGTTGTCCTGTATGGTCCAAAATAGTCTGAAGTGTGTGCATCAAGCTGTCATTTCTTGCGATTCGCGGGCATTGTCTCCATTAAACTTCCAGTCGTAAGTAGTGCACGGCAGGTACATTCACGATCCATGTAAAAGTGAATGAGCAATCACGGACTGCTCCGTAGGGGCGACGCCATGAAGCAGCAGGCATGGCGGCTTGAGTGCCTTATCTCGCGTCTTGCTGCGTTTAACTTGCGAAGCACACATGCTGCCATGGTTGAAACTTTGTGACGCCGCCCACGCGAAGTGGCTGATGATCATGCGTTCACCTCTATGTGGATCATGATCATACGTCTCCACTTGTCTGCTGCTTTCGGTGCTTTAACACTGGCAGTACACAATGTAGAGGCAAAGCACCAAGGGTCGTCTCTGAGAAGAGGCAGGTGTTAACTACCCCAAAATATTTACGAGGAACTCACCTTCCAGAATGCTTTCTCTGCTTCCTCATACATGAGGAGGTTGTTGTAGGTGCGACCGACGTTGATATGAGCTCCAATGTCATCTGGCTGCACACTGCACCAAAGTAACAGTAACACAGGTGGTCAGACATTGATAACATTAAAAAGAGTACAAATGAAAAGTGCGCAAATATCCAAATATAATTTTTTAATTCAAATTGAATACAAATAAATTAAAAAGGGTAACTGAATATAGAATTTGTGCCTAATAAAAAAGTAGCAAAAAGTTTAGACAAATACAACCTTTTTCAGGCCTTTGAAGCTACTATAATGCTGGCATCAGATTAAGCTTACTTCTAAATGACATAGCCCAAGAAATGCATAAGAACAAATAATTGTTAAAACTAAATGACAAGCAACTGGAGTTTAATAATAAAAATAAGACTGTTTATAAATATCAATAAAAAATTAATAAGATTAGAAAAATATTTCTGCAAGAAACTGAGAAAACTAGTAATTTTTTGTTGGGCTCTTCAAAATATTTTTTGAGAAAACCAACGGGCCGCAAAGACTCGCGAGACATTTCTTTGAAATGACATCCTACAAGAAACATATTTGCCTGCTGACAGAGAATACGGCTCACTCAAAATGAAGGATGGCTTAGAATAAAAATTTAGACCTTCCTAATACATTCATGGAAGTAATAAACGACAGTTGTTATCATTTTCGTGATCATGAACAAAAAAGGTCAAACTGTGCCAACATTTGTACCCGGCCTTTTACAATGCTGTTAGCATTGGTTTCTACGTGAATGAAAGGAAGCTTTGCCTGTTCCGAGTAACCTGTTATCGCCGAAATGTTGCCGACAGAAGGAGAAATGTGGGACACGTTCCAGTCCAAAAGTGGAGAGGAGTGGCTCACCTGGCAGCCTTGAGGAAGTACTCGAGGGCCTGGGCAAACTTTCCCTGCCCCTCAAGTGCATGGCCCACATTGTTGTACAGCTTGGCGTTCTGGCGGTTCACCCGGAGCCCCGCCATGAAGATGCTGTACTCAGACTCCCTGCAGTGCAGTTCAAGAAAGAAACAAATGTGACGTGCACACTTGCACACAAACATGCACAAGCCAGCAATAACAACCATATTCTGTGTGTTGCACTGTGTTAAAGGCAATTGAAAAACTACGTTGAAACAACATGCTCTGCTGCTCATTTGAAGTTAGCTCTGAAACAACAGAAACGGGCACAGAAAAGCTGCATCAAAAATAATGTTTCGTGTTGCGCAAATATTTAAATTTTCAAATACTAGTTCGGAATAATATGCTATTCAATATTCGCTTTGAGATAAACTGCGATATTCCTACTTTTAATGCAATAGCGTTTAGGAGCTCGTATCCCAGAAAATTCGGCATCGGCATCAGTGACGGTGTCAGCGTTGGTGGGACATGAAAATCCTGATTGGTCAATAAGTAATGGGAGTGTCTACATCCACGCGCGGGGATGTAGCCACGTCGGGAGGAGATAAGGCTCCATCCACGCACTACGTCACTTCCGGCGCACTACGATCAACTTCCGGTCTAGCCTCCCATTGTTTTTCCCTCTGCTCGGCGGCCATTGCACCTTGCGTTCCTGCCGTGCGCGGACTACTGTCTACTGCGCCTGCCTGGTCTTCCGCAAGCGGGTCTGACTTTCTCTGAAGTGTTCTTTTTATTTTTTTCTGTTTTCTCGGACAAGGCGTTTGGCCGTTTGAGTATTAGCACGGTCGCGCTCATGATGTGCCTCAAGTTTTGGTTGCCGGGGATTCGACGGTGAAATACTTGTCCTAGTATTTCCCATCGAATAACTGGGTGGCTGTCGAAGTGCGGGCGTTTAGTGGCATTAGGATCGAGGCTTTTTTTTTTTCCAACGTGTCTGACGCCCTGCTCGATTTTCGCACAAACAACACCAGCGTTTGTGTTAGCGCGTACGTTGACAAGTATCGTCGGCTGGCCGCTCAGATCTTGGAACGCAATCGACGAAGCAGATCGCCTTTTCTTCCGTCTTTCCGAGGCCGGAGAACAGGCTCTCTTCGATGGAGTGTCATCGTAGTCAGAGTGCCGAGATCTAGGCGCTGAATGATCGGCACAGGGACGTGAAGTGGCCCCTGCAGGACTTCTGCAGCAAGAAGGGCTTCGTGTTCATCGGTGATCTCATGGACGAGTGGCATCTGCGCATCAGCTACTGTTTTATTTGTCATGGAATAAACTGTTTCTGGAATCTTTTACCCAGTTTTCTCGATTGAATGCTCTCAGTATGTTTGTTATTAATGGGACTTTCCTCACAACTTTTATGTGATTGCGGGCGTGCGCGCAAGTCAAGAAAGTAGGAGCGGTGGGCACGTACTTGTCCCCTTCGATACACATAAGCTCACACTAAAACGCTTCGAACCAAGCCAACCACACACACGACGAAGCCTCTCCGCCTCGCCTCAGCAGCGATGCACACATGCATGGGCGGAGGCCCCGGAGGTTGGACCCGCACCGCCCGCACGCACAGATGGCACGCACGCCGACCACACGTGTGTGTGACTCCTGGATAACATAACTATAAAGCTATATATTGGTACTATTTTTATGATGCATGATATTTGCTATTAGTCTTAGAAAACAGTAAACAATTGATGAATTGTCTAAAAATTTGTAAGGTCATGTGACATAATAACTTTAAAACAACAATGAAATGTAACCTCTTTATTTTTATATCCTATATTTACTTATAAGAAAGCATAGTATGTACATAAAAACAAATTATCTTCTTATATTATAAGCCACGTGACCTTTTGCGTGGATGGAGCCTTATCTCCTCCCGACTTGGCTACGTCCCCGCGCGTGGATGTAGCCTCGGCCATAAGTAATTCATTGTTTACTTACAATGTTTACAATTAATTCATTATTTTTTTTTGTTAAGTTTGAAAGTAAAGTAATAATATTAGCATATAGCGAGCAGATTTATAAATCCCCTCGATTAGGATAGCTGCAACAATTTTGTCGTTTACACGCCACAGTTCATAAATATAACTGTATTAAAATTAACTGAGCTTAGAAGTGAACAAGTGGACGGCTGGGAACAATCTTTATGAGTTCCGCTGAATTTTCATTTATTCTGGAGCACTCACACGGACTTTGTTGCCAAACGTCTCAGAGTTTTGTCTGTACCGTTTGCACTCCATGGTTGAAGTGTCACTTCGCTTCAAGGTGTACAAGGCTCTGGGTGACAATATCCTTGGGTATGATTTTACGTTGTACGGTGCATGCTCCAACAGGAAGCAAAAATTAGATAACATACTGCATCAAATACTGTAAACGACTTATTGCTCGCGGGCTCAATATTTCGTGATTTAGGTAGATGCTGAAGTTTGGGAATAATTCGTCAGTTCTAATTTTCGCGATGCGGTGGGCTCTCTTTTTACATTTTACCGGAATTGTTTGCGGGACCTATTTTTTGTGAATTCTAGGCGATTCACGAAATCTGCGAAAATTAGGTTTTTGCAAAAATTAAGTTGTGTACAGTAGTTGGTAATATTGCCCATGAAACAAAATTCGAGACTCTGGACAAAAAAAAAAAGTTCTTTGCAGATATCTTTGTCCGAGAATCTACACTGGTATTGTATTGCCGTAAAACAATGTTACAGTAGCTCATTTAAATCACCTTCACGGAAGCTGAAAACTCTAAGACAAAACGAGCGTTTCTTTTTCCAAAATTTTTTACAAATTATGGAAAGTAGGTTTAGTCATTCTATGTCCCTTATTGTTACAGTAAATTACCAGCAGGGCTTTTTAATTTGGATTCACTAAGAGCAGTGAAAAGGGAACTAAAAATATGGTGTTTGAATTTAGATAGTTTAACAGTACTATGCCATGCAAACACTGTACCATATTGTACTGTCTGGTTTGCAACAGATAGACCATTTTTTCTAACTTTCTTTTTCCTTTTTGCTTTGTTATTTTATTTTTATTCGTCGTGGTCATCTCTGCTGAATGTGGGGTCCTTCCCACAAGCACAAAACTGCTTTTGAGGGTCCCAAAAAATTACCTGTACACTGTTTTCTGAATAAACATGATGATGATGATGACAATGATGATGGTGATCATTATTATTATTGTAATTATTATTACCTATCCACTCCGAGTTCACTTTAAACCCAAAATTCACTATTTGCACATGATTCGTAATGTTAACCGAATTTTAATAAAAATCATGCCAAGACTTGACTCTTAAAGAAAAATAAAGTTGATAAAATAATAGGGAATTTGCAACATATTCATGTCTTGCCGTGATTTTTATAAATGCCTTGCATTATTAACAACATAAAAAGTTGTGTAGAATAAAATTGGTGCAGTAGCAGTTTGTTGCAAATGGGTGAGCAAATAGACAGGGCTTACTCAAAATGAGATATAGTTGAGAAGAGTCTATTTACACGTTTGCAAGTCCGGTCTCAAGGTGCCGCCATCTTGCTCAGTGGGGTGCACTCTTGGACGCGGCCATAATCTGAATACAACGCCTTAGCAAGGCTTCCTAATCGGATAAATGATGCGTCCAAGCGCACCCCAGCCGAGCAAGATGGCAGCGCCATGAAGCCGGACTTACAAATGTGTATATAATGGCTGAATATACAATGAACACTGGACAAGTGGTCGGGACTCTCCCTGTACACTCCCCAGCACAATTTCAGTGGTCATAGTTCTTGTTTGCTGGTACAGTATAGACCACTTATAACGTAACCGCTTATAGTGCAGGACCGGGTATAACGCGGCTTTTTTAAACTACCGGTTCGCCTCCCATAGAGCTCCATGTAATTACATACCGCTTAAAATGCAGGCGCGTGAAGGGAAATACCGGTTATAGTGCGGTTTCTGGAACAGCCCGCCGACCACGCCAACCAACCGGCGCAGCGAGCACGCTTCCCTGTGCGACACTAGATAACGACACTAGCCGCAAGAGGCACTCGGGGGCAAGGAGGTTGCTCGAAGAAGCGGGGACAAGCGAAGAGAGAGGCTTCAGTTGCCATAGCGTCTGCGTTTGAAACAACCACAACGAAAGACCTGACAGACCAATCGCAGGTCGAGGAGAAGCGTCTGCGCGCGTTGCATGCCGGTCGCGGGCCGACTTCTTCTATCCGCAAACATGGCGTCGGTTGTGATCGTCGACATAGACAGCGTGGTGGAAGCTCATCGTTCTGCGTAAAAGCGCTATCCTTGACTGTGAATTTTCGTTGTGTGTCGCTATGATAACCCAGCACGTACTAGAAGGGAAGATCCACCTATTCGTACGGCGATGTTGTGGCGGCACTCTCAAGACGGCAGAAACGCCCGTGTCGTCGTGTTTGTTTACTTCGACTACAGTGGTGCTTTCTAAGCATTTGTGTTTTCGAACATCGCCCGGATTTCTTATTTGGAGCATTTCATGCCTGTGCTCAAGTTGAAGGTATTACTGGCGCGTAGCGCGTACCGTATAAAAGATGCGAATTTTCACGCGTTTTCATCACCGGAGAAAAGTGATTAGGGCTAGCAATCCTGAACGCTCGCAACGTCCGTCTGCAACCCGCGACACCGTTAAAAGGCTGCGCCAGGCAAAAGTTACTCATTTCTTGCAAAATGTGTGACACACTTGAGAGAGAAGTGTACTTAGTCTGATGAAATAAAGACGACTTTCCTCAAACTAAGCTTTATTTTTCATCTAATATGAAATAAATTGTTTTACAAAGGTAAGTTGTCTCATGGCATGTATTTTGGCCTGAAAAATTGATGTTCTGGCTATAGCGCGGTACCGCTTATAGTGCGGATTTTCGCGACTCCCGCGACATACGTTATATGCGGTCTACACCGTGCTTTATCAATTTTCCCAATTTAGTTGGGAAAATCATACTATTATCAATATACTACCTATGTTTCTGGGTTTTCTAAAATTAATTTTCCGCTATGGTAGCTCAGGCACACATTTACCCCAAGTGGAATTAATGCAAGAAAATTACATGAAATGAAGAGTCCTCCAGACTAGCATGGATATAAAATATATTAGATGGGTAGGAAGCTCTGTTTGCAAATTTTAGGAAGTTAAGTTTCTAGGGTATCATGCATGGAGGGTTGGCACTGTAATGAGAACTACCTGAAATTTATAAGTTCTAAATTTTGCTACCTGTTTAACAAAGAGTTAGTTATGTGTGCATAGTGAATATTGAGTTTGAAGTGAATAGTTGTTTCGGCTGTATATTTTAGAATCAAATATCGAATAGATTCTCCAAGCCTTTCACACAGTTGCACCATACTTAAACGAAAACCCAGATAAACTAGCAAAGGTTGTTACCAAGCTTGTACATGTTCATTTATCAGCTAATTTTAATCTAACTATATTTATGAATTGTGACTTTAGAAAATGTGATGCCTTGGGATTTACAGATTTAATTTAAAAGAGATGTCCAACTATGCCTAACTGAGTGGATTTGTGATTCTTGCTGCATGCAAATATTTTTTCTTCAATCTCGAATTTGAAAAAAAAAAAAAGTCGGAAGACACTTAAGCACTTCTTATGAGTTGTAAATGCGAAAGCATGATTGTTCAATGGAACGCTGCAGAATGATCTGCGGAGTATTGTGGTGTGAGTAATGTTTTCGAGTTGTAGCAGAAGCACCGGAGACGATGTATGCTAGAGGTGGCGCCATGTTCGTCGGTGGCAAGACGAGCAGAAGCACCGCCGACGATACGGATGATGGAGGCGACGGCATGCTGGTCGGCGGCGAGATGAGCAGAAGTCTCTGAGCGCGCGCCAACGTGTCCGTTTTATTCGGCGCAGGGCCCGTAATGGCATGGGGTTGCGGCCGTTAGTTTTATCGGCGCGCTGTGGCACCTTAGGCAGCACGGGCACGCAGCGCCATCTGGCGGTAATCGTTGGAACTGACGCACATAGCGGCCAATGGGAGCCTTGTTGTCGTGCGCCAGCCAATGGGACCTTTCGGATCAGAAAAACTATCTAGGTGCCGTTTTCGCGCCTCAAACTGATGATGTCGGCTAGCTCCATGGGACCCCCAGTTAATGCTTTCGCATTAAAAAATCAAGAATGGTGAAAGCAGGTTGTCATTGCATCTCTGCCTAACATAGAAGATTCCATAACAGCCACAGTTTAATTTTGAAACTTTTATTGCAATGTAGACATCAACATTTGCAAAGTTTCTGTTCCTTTTCAAATACAACAGGTGCACGCATGCATGATCCCACTCTGAAATTGTGCTTTCCTCCCAAGCATGCAAATGCAATCTTTGCACTTTTCCAACTGTTAATCGCGACGGGTTACCCTGTTAAAAGCCGACATACACTTCGCGCTTTCCACTATTGCTCGCCTCCCCCTTTACTATATTTTCCCCGCTTTTTACCTTGCTCCAACTTGGCTCCCATCGCAGCCTAGGAGGGGGGAGCGCTAAGAGCAGCAGAAAACTGAGGTCCCTGCAGAAAACCGAGGTTGTACGTCGACCTTAAAGTGCGCTTCTCACCCAGCACCGGTGCACTGCGGAGAAGCAACACCCGCAAAACTCGCTTTCGCGGGTATTGCTTCTCCGCAGTGCACCCATGCTTGGTAAGAAGCACGCTCAACAGGGCAAACCCACCATTATTTGTCTTCTTCGTGACGAGCCCCTTTGGTAACAAATTAGCTCAGATTACGAACACATTCTTTCCATTTCTAAATCGAGATTTCAAACTCTTTGAAGCAACATTTGATCCCGCTTGGTTTCTGGCCAATGAAAATGAGTGCACCTCACCAGTCGTAATTCCTTATGAATGTCTTGATGGAGTGAGTTGTGATCACGAGCAGCAACCCTATCCACAGGAACCGCTTGAAATGTTGGCTGAAATACCGAGAGAGATGCCAAAAAAAATTATTAACAGTTCATTCGAGTAACTTGCTGGAAAACATGCTTAAGAAATGTCAGGTGGACAAACACATTAGCACCACTGTTGTACACATTCCTCTAAAACAGGAAAAAAAAGCTTGTTTTTCGTTCCTTGTCGATCTTCGAACGAGTTCCTGTGACAAGATACAGTGGTTCGAAAAAAATGCATTCCTGTTACATTTTTTAAGATTGAAAGGCGTGGTTGCATTAGGTTACATCTGCATATTTAAACAAAATATTGTGCTGGATAATTCCTAGATCAAATAAAGTCAGCAGGTGAAAATAGCTATGTGTAGAATTGACACCCCAGGCGACAATCAGTCCATTTCCAGCTGGATTATGGAACTGGAAATGAGGCGGTCCAGCTGGAATCAAGCTAGACTGATTTTTGCTTGGGATGATCACATTTGTTTAAGTTTTTTGTTTTCAACTACCTCGCAAACACTTCCCGAAACACTTCCGAAGTAAGAGGTTTAAATAGACTCTACCAAAAATCTTAAATGCCTACTAAATTCAAGTAAAATTACAACAAAAAAAAAAAATTAAGAGAAATGTTTTTTGTTGTTGTTTTGCCGAAAACGTAAAAAGTTCCCGTTTCAGTTTCACTGTTCTAAAATAAAACGGCGGTGGTCCTCCTTTTCTCCTCAAAAGAAGCCACTCCAGGAAGGTCGTTCTTTGGAACGTACAACACTGGTTAGCATTCACATAATAATGAAAGTCTTTTTCTTAAAGTTCATTGCTTTAACCCCACTGTAAAAAAGTAAACTCCCTCTTTCTCCTAGATACATTTCCTCTTGCTCTAATTATCAATTCGGTCTGAATTCATCACTGTTGCACCACTGCCCAAATTGACTCTTTCATATCCCAGAACGTCACCCGAACGAAAACACCTTCCAACATCTCTAGTGTCAACATCAATAGTTGCTTCATTCAAAATTTCAATACCCAATCATTCACTTTTATTAAACTTTGATGCTCATGTTTTTATTGCATTTTTGTACTAGGCTCTTTTGTATCTTGTAGTTTTACAGGTCTTTGCCCTTTTCCCTGTAACAACTCTGGGCACTGAGGGTAGTGAAATAAATAAATAAATGTGAATATCTAGTTATGAAACAACTTTGCTTAAATATCCCCCTAGGTGCCTAGCATCTTCATTTGTGCAACACCATTTGAGGACGGGTAAAGCACCTTAAAATACACTGCGCAACAAAGTCGGCACAAACACGACATTGGTGCTAAAGCATGCCTTACAAATAGAATTGAGCGCCGAAAACCAATCGATATACAACAGAACGCATCGAATGAGGCTGCACACTGCCCAGAATGTAAGAGTGCAACACAAGCTACAGTAGGACAGGGGTCGATCGAGAAAACAAAACTCGGTTTTTCGACCCATGAAGATGAACTATGCATCGCAAAAGCCAAAAGTCCTAGGGAATACAACACTAGCAGTGGTGACAAAATGTCAAAGTTTGAGAACATGGAACAAAACATGTGAGAGAAAATAAAATTTCTCTACGAGCCAAGGTTCATCTAAGCCTAGCTAATATTCACCAAACCAAAAAATGACATTGTGGGGGCCCGTTACGGTGGTCACTGAAGACAATGTGGGGCGCGCATTGTGGTGGTCACTGATATAGCATGAACGAGCGGAAACAATAATTAAAAAAAAATGGCAGGGATAAAGAAGAACGAATAATGTAGAGACACATTGTTAGCACAAATGAGCAACTGCCAGTTTCTTTCATTTTTCTTCTCTTTTTTTTTGACACAGTGCACATAGAGTTTTTTTAATTTATTAATTTTGAGGAATGCCTATGTGCTTTGAATGGCAGCACAGAACCCTGTCCCAATCTCAGCACTAATTGAAAAAACAAAAAACAGTGCAAAGGTTTATTGATTATGTAAGCAATAAGGCACACACTACAGAGCTTATAGGTAGGCATCAATGGGTGGCTCCAGTTAGCTTAACTCATGCTTAAACTAAATGAGCGCTTCACTCAGGGGCAGGAGCGATGGAGCAAATTTGGGAGTTGGCCATCCCCAACTTTCTTGGACATGAATTCCTCAATGCATGCACTAAAATGAAAATTTCAACTGAACAACAAACATTGCAATGTTTACCGAGAATATTTTAGATGACAGTCGTAAAATATTACTAAGCAGTAACTGAACCTTTGGATGCATACAGTTTTTATTCCACAGCTCAATAAATTTTTTTTTGCATTTAATCCTATGGGTTACACTATATGGCCTCTGCTTTTATTGTCAAAATATAGTAGTGTTCCCAGGACTGTAATAGACCATTTGCTAAATCCCCCAAGTGCCCCGGCACACACTCGAGGCATCACGGGAACGGTGCTCCTTCAGCTCCCTAGTGATCTCTAGTTTCGACCAATTCCATGGTTACACAGTTTTGAGTGTATGATTCGGAGTCACCCTGAACAAGCATCCTATAGAGCCCAAGGTGCTGTCATATCACTTTTAAAATTTCTTGTCAATGTCAGCGTAATCATGATACTGTGCATGAGATCCCCCTTTCAACCTGGCTGAGCTGCAGAAATCTCTTACAATATTATCATTCTCGTGACCGTTGTTTTAGCAAGAAATGCTCAAAAAGCCGAGAAAGCACAACAACCAAAACCAGGATTTAGCTCAGAGTCAGTGGGGCTGTGTATAGCCTTTTAAGAATTTCTAACTTAATATCAGCGTCTTTAAGCTGTATGAAAATGATAATAATGTAAGAGATGCCTTCTGCAGCTCAGCCAGGTTGAAGGGTGGACAGCATGCACAGTACCGAAAACGCTGACATTGGTGAGAAATGTTAAAAGTGATATGACAGGTCCTTGCATTCTACACAACGCTTGTTCACAGTGACTCCAAATTACACTCAAAACTGTGTAACCATGCAATTCCTCGAAAATTACCGATCAGCTGAAGGAACACCGTTCCCATGATGCCTCGAGTACGAGCCGGGGCGCTTGGGGGATTTAGCAAGTGCCTGGGTATGAGAGAATGCAAATCAAATAGAATTTTGATATTTCTTTAATACATTTTATCTCACGGAGTGTCCAAGAAAGTTGGCCATGGGAACCCCTGAGGACACCCTGGAAGCCTTTGAACCCATGATGTAGTAAAATTCACTCATCCTGGGCTTCAATTTTATCGCTGAAACTCATTGCCCCTTAATACCCTCGCCGAGCGAAACACGAAAACCGGCTGATGCCGCAAGTTTGCGTTAACCGGAAGCTCATTCAATTTAACTGCATCTCCTGCACTCGGTGCAAACTGCCGCGTTCGATTTACGAGTGCAGCTCATCTGTAAACGCAACCGGAAGCACATTGACCAACACTTTTCTGCACTATGCTACACTTTTTTGCACCGGTGCAGGCTGGAGCAAGTAAACTGAACGAGCCCTGCATCGTGCAACATATTCTCTCGGGCAGCCTTATGGGGCGCGATGCCAACTGACGTCGGCCTTTTGGGGGGCGCCCCCGACCAAGTGGGGGGATTCACTTACCCGGAAGAGCGTGGGGCGACCCCGTGGGCGTTCCGCAGCAGGGCGTCCCAGCCGTGCGCCACGAGCAGGCAGACGCCCATGCTGGGCAGGTAGAGGATGCGCTCGGCCACCACAAAGCCCACGTGGAAGAACAGGTTTGAGGCCGGCAGGAACGGGAAGGCCACCAGCGACAGGCTCTGTGCCGCCATGGAAAAAGCCTCGTCACGCGGCAGCGGAACGCGCTTTACCCAGTGCATAATGGACGTTTTGTGAATGTCTGCGCACGAAACGTGCGACGAATTATGGGAACATCCTGTACACTCCTCCTTGCTCCTACAGCATCTATCAGATCACATCAAAGAAATTAAGGGTGAGGGCAGGCGTAGTAGCTTGCCCAACCTCGCCCGCTGCTGCAGTTGGTTCTATGCAGCCAGTTCCCAGCATTCCTTTCGGGACTGCGGACCTTTTTTAGTGCTAGTCGGTCTCGGCATATTATATTTTAGCCTCAGTTATGTTTATTCCCGGGAGGCTGGCATGAATGCAGAATCTAAATTTTACAAATGTCTGACAAAGGCTCTTGTTACTTACTGCCAGTAGACAAAACAAGCTGAAACATTATCAACCTTTCAAAGTCAGCACAGTATGACAGAGCAATAAAAACCTTCTCAAAACTTTGAGGCTTTGTCTTGGTTGCTAATGTCTGTGCACTGCCTAATTCTAATCATGTTGTGCCTAAACCAGTCTGCCTGAACTCTTCCACATTTAGAGAAAACTAATCTCAATGCCATGCTGGTTTATTTACTGGGATAAATTGCAACATGCAAGAAATCGTTTGAGATAGCACAAAAGTGCTATTGAAGAAAGAAGAAAAAGAACAAATGAACATGCTCCACACCTCAGTGGACAAGGACGGGAGCATCCAGAAGGCGATTATTGGAATGGTATGCTCACGAAAAATATGACGTCGGAATGACGGGCAGAGGCCGAAAACAGGGCTGTCCAGGTGAGCGCCACCAGAGCCACGAGGAGAGCGAGTGTGGCCGCATTGCGGGGGTCCATGAAGGACTCGACCAGCGGCACGCTGCCCATGGTCCAGTCACAGCACAGGCCCCAGGGGCACAGCAGCAGCCACGAGTTCAGGGGCAGCAGGTAGCTGAAGGTCAGCTGACGGGCAGGGCTCGGGGCCACCGCCGCGGGGTTGTCGAACCTGGCAAACGGATCGGAGGACACGGTCGACGTCGGTGCCGGTAGGGATTGCGGCACATTTCTGGTGTACGCACGTTTGTCGTGGCAGACACCTTCGTCACCCCCCAGAAATTGTCCATGATGCAAGCCATCAACAATAATGAGAGAAAAATGGATGTTACCCAGTTTGTCCCTGAAAATGTTGCCTACATAGCGGGGTATCCGTGTATCAACGGGGGTCCGTATGAGGAATGGGCAGAAATACTCTAAAGAGTATTCCGGAATGCCAAAACCGAGATACGTGCATTTTAGTCAAAATACAGATATTGAGAAATTTGCATTTTAAGGTCAACATACAGATATTGAGATACATTTGTCTCTTTTGTAATGGAATATCCCTCACATACTTCTGCAAAGAGGGCAAGGAAGTATTCCGGAATACAGATATACAGTAAACCCTCACTAACTGGAAGTCATAAAAAGTGGAAAATAATTACAGGAAGACCCCTCGGTGGGTCTTTTAGGGAATGCGTTAGCATGACCGTTGGAAACGCCACACACGTCCCCATTTGGGAAAAGCTAATGCTGACCCCTTCACATTTTTTCTTTTGCTTCTGCCATTTTTTTCCCACCTTTTTTTGGTTTCGTTACAGAGTCAGTGTTAGCATCTCTCAAAGGTGGACGTGTGTAGCGTTTCCTAAGGGTCATGCTAACGGATTCCCCAAGAATCTACCAATGGATCTTCCTGTAATTGTTTTTGCCATCTTTTTTGTACTCTGCCTGTCAGAATGCATCTACGCCCTTGAATACGGATATCCATATCACTCGTGGAAAGAACCACATCCACACAACTCGTGGAAGGAACAGCATTCATATTACTCGTGGAGTGAGCCGCATCCATTGTTTTAACTGCACGCACACATTACAGCCCACGTGCCACTACTATGGAAAGAACAACCTTTGACAGCAGAGCGGCTACTGAGCACGCCCACATTTCATTGCGCCGCGGCGCAACACCTTCTAGATAACAAAGCCGTAGTGCTGAATGAGATGGTGTTATCGGAGAAGTACAACGCTGGGCACAGATTGGACACAACGATTGTGTCAACGTTTGGCTCAAACTTGACTCGAAGCCGAGCGCTGACGCAACACTTGTTTCCAATGTGTGTCTAGCGTTGGCGCTCTCCGATTAAGCCATCTCATTCAGCACTACGGCTTTGTAATGAGGAGGTGTTGCGCGACGCCTCCTCCCCTCTGGCTCCGTGCCAACTGTGTGCGTGACTTTGTCGAAAATGAAAGGACTACGAAAACCCGGCGGTGTCTGTCAGTTTGTCAGCACTGGAGAGAGAGGGAGAGTTTGGTACGTGCTGACGGCAGCGCTTAGGACAAATGAGAGTGTCGTGCGCGTGACAACTTACAAAACCGTAAGTTTTGTAACGTGCGTGACAACTCGAAACCAGCATTCTAATGCTGCCGCATTAAAAATTGGAGATAAGTGGAGTTTCAAGATAAGCGAGGTATAAAATTTTCATTGCACCAATTCGGCATGATGCGAATGGAACCCTTCCAACAATCGCGCCAATTGACTTAACACTTACACGGCACACGGCGCCTTGGAGAGAACAAAACAACCGCAACAAAATTGTCAGCAAACAACACAAGCAGTATCGAGGGGAGGGGGGTCAAGAAAGCATACAACAATAAACGTCCTTGAGATGCAGGCTGCTTCGTGAGTTTCCGTGCTCATGACACTGGACTTTTTTTTCTCGACCTTTACATGTTGTGGCAGGCACGCTATGATGTACAATTTTTTTTTATTTTTTCTGTGTTAGTTTTTTGGATCGCTGTTTCTTCGTCAACCAATGTTTAGGCCACCAGTTCAGTGTTTGCTGTGCCCTGTCTGTGTTGTTGTTTTTTTTGCGGGGGGAGGGGTAATATTTGTTGTCATGTTTTTGAGATATCTGAGGTCAGTCCAGAAATCGTTTACATTCTTTCGACTTAACCAACATTTTGGAATAGCCAAGTTTGAGTTGATGAGATATTACTGTATAGATACTTACAGGAATAAATTTTTCCCCATATGGTGAAGTTGGGAAGGGTACACTTCATAGCGAATTAAATAGGGCTTGTGTTCCTCTCTTTGTGTCAGTTAATGCCCTTCCCCTTAGACTTTTCATCTATACACAACTGCCACCCTAAATACCACAAAAAAATATTATTGCCTCCAGTGACCCACATAGGTACTGGAGGCCAACAACTGCTCGCCATGCCTGACAAAAACTGTCTGCCCAAAATGAACCCTGTTTTGAGCAAGGCTGTAACTTAAACTGCATCCAAGTGCTTCTGAGTCACCCAGGGCGGAGAGATTGAACAACGGAGCGAACCTGTCTGCCCTAAGGCACCCTAGTCTGCACACCTGCAGAGAACCTGTTACGACGTAATAGGAAAAGAGGCTCCTACAAGCTCCCTCCTGCCCATGATTGGCAGCCTTCCTTCTCTCCACTCACTTCCTTTCCAGCATTTGATACGCCAAAGTAAAAGGAGTGCAGGGCTTTGTGGGAGGAACTTATCTTCACATTATTTTTTTGTTGCGCCTTTTTCATATTTATACTTTCCCGCCCTCCCCCCCTCCCCCCCCCTCCACCCCTTTTGTAGAGGGAGTTATGCAGCAGGTTCACCAGAAAGATGCTTTTCAGGTTATCATGAAAACTCAACACTTCATTTTCTAGAGCAATTGTAACAAGATACAAATACATTTTTCAAAATGTATCTCGATACAGTTACTCAAAAGTATCACCAAGATACTATTGTAATATATTTGTATACCAATAATATAATATTGCCTTACATTTGTATCACAATATATTTGTATCAGAATACTACCCAGCCCTGGTCAATATTAACGAGACAATACTGTAATGTTTTGGCTGTCGCCACACTAAAGCGACATTAGCTAGGCATTTGTTTTAGTTCGACTTTAGCCCATTGGGAGCTGACTAACTTCCGGCCGTATAAACGTAAACAAAACACAATTCAAGTTTTCAGCGGTGTTGCTCTTTAAAAAAGATGAGATGCCAGAAAAGAAAAAAGTTATATTTTTTTGCTGGAGCTAACCTTCGGACAGTCTGCATTCAAAAAAAGGACCAAAGAAAAGCGACCGAGAAGCAAACCACGAATTAGTTTCACAGTCTGGGAGAGCTATTCAATAGGAATTTAGTTTATTGGTAGAGACATTTTAACACTATTTTACGAGTTATTCATCTTGGGTTACTACAGAAATAGCTTTTGAACAATGCTGGAAATGCCCTTATGTGTTGGCTTTCAAGCTAGAGTGTAAAAACACCTCTTTGCTCCCCCTTTCTTTCCACTGAGCACGACACATTATTTGTGCGAACAATGTCCAAAAGAGGTGGCAAAACAACTTCATTTCTCTTTTGTTCATCCTAAGAATGCTCTAAATGTATAGCATTTATAGGTCCTCTTTGACATGTCAGAGTCACCTAACCACCAGAAAAGCATGTGGTCATGTGACCTTATGTCACATGACCACGTTACTAAACATCATGTCACGTGATCACATGCTTCGCTGATGGTCAAGCAATGTCCCGGGGCCTCTTAACAAACAATAACCATAAGAGTTTCCCCTCTTAGGAATTGTCAACGTTCCAAAACCATGGTGAGCACCGCACGGGCCTACCCTTTGAGGCCCGACACGGCCCGGGCCCATTCACTCAAGCCTTCCCTGACCCGGGCCCGGCCTGATAAGAGCCCTATACCTGATCCAACCCGGTTGAAGGTGCCTCGACAGTAGGAGACAAAGCACGTATCAGGCCCGGGCCCCACCCAAGCCCGAGAATAATGTGTCGTACTACCCAGCAATGAATGCATACAACCCGGCCAGCGGCCCAGCCTGGCCGGGCCCGTGCAGAGTTCTATGTCAGACAATTCAACAGTTAATTGCGAACACTGAGACGTCACCAGCATGGAAACGAAGACCCCAACAACTGGCCCTACAAATGCAATGCATTGAAAATATCTGGCCCACTGACTTGGTGAAGACGGGCAGCTGCGCCCCCATGACGTGGACCCGGGCGGCGAGAAGGCAGAGTGCACCGAGGAGCAGGACGGCCGTCCGCTGGAGCGCGTCCCTGAGCCAGCCGCTCCCGCAGCCGCCCCCGGCCGCAAGCAGCCGGACGCCACGGGATACATGCCAAGGGCGCAGCTGGAACAGAGGAGACAGCGCTGTCAGACACCCTGGAGGCAGTCTTGGGTAAGTTGCTTTGAAAAAGTAATTTAGTGACTTTCGTATAAAAGTAGCAAAGTTACTTTTACAGTTACTGCAACAAAAAGTAATTAATTACAGTTACTGTTAAAATGCAACGACATTACTTTTAAGTTACTTTTCCATAGAACTATGAATAAAGAAAAAACACTGAAAGATAACCTTCACGCCAAGTTGATTACAGCAAGTGCAAGTAAAGTTGGTGCAGGGCGAAAGCGGCACTAAAAATGTCATAATTGAAAACGAGCATGTTGGTGAAAATATATGAACACATGAAAGGATAAAACATGAGTCGACGGGAACAGAAAAAGAAGTTCTGTCCCTGTCCATGTCCTCTCTGTTTTATCCTTTCATGCATTCATACGAAAATGTCGGAACACATCATTTGAGAAGTGCAAAGGATGGCTAGATTGCAGTCATTCAATGATGTCTTATTGCTGAAGAAACCATGAGAAGTAACGACAAAAGTATTGTAGCTACTCTCGTCGTTACTTCAGAAAAAAGAATAGAACTACAGTTACAAGTTCCATCTCCAAAGGGTAGTGCATTACGGTTCAAAGTTACCAAGAAAGTAAAAAAGTTACAGTAATCCTCTACCATCTAAGGCTGCCTGGAGGCCTTGGAGCCACACAGGCATGTAGCCAGGATTTTGTTTCAGGGGGGGGGGGGGGGGGGGGGGGGGCATGACAAAATTCTTTATGAGGCGGAGGGGGGAGAGGAGGCCCCAGCAAAATGAAAGATATCAGGGGGGCGGGGCCTGGACCCCATGACTGCCCCCCCCCCCCCCCTCCCCTCTCTAGATATGTGCTTGGAGCCACAGATTCGAGAGGAAGGATAAGAGGGGGACGTCACTCAAAAAGAACTAATGTACCACTTTTTGCTCTCAACGTTTCCTCATATCACTCTTTTATTCGATGTGCACGACCACAAACGTTATTAAAATATTCAAAATAAAAGGGACATTGTAAATAAAATATATTATTCCTGCAGAGTAACGTTATCAACAGCAGCTAATGTCAAGGAATGAGTATTAGCCCCGAGAAGTTCGCATGGCGCCCCCTTACGGCGAACCGGGGTGACGTCACGGCGAGGAGAGAATTTTTCCCCGACTCGCCCCGGTCGCCCTGTGAAGGCTGTGACGACACTAGCTGTCGGCGCGCTCGTTTCTATTTAATCTTTTTTTGGCGTGTTTTTCGTAGGAAGTGTAAATTTTTATATGTGCCTTTATTGAGGTATGTCCTGTAGCTACAGGCGAAACTTCAACCAACATTTGAAGCATGGTTGACAGGGCAGGCAACGCATGAATCGCAACTGGATTATGAAAATGAAGAAATATGGCCACAATTGCAGGAGCATCACTATAGATTTACATTTCGCACAATACATGCTGCTGATAGTCTGAATGAATGAGCAGGTTATGTATACTATATTTTTTTTGTATCTCTGTTTTTAAACAAGATCGCCGAAGCAGAAAAGTTGTTCGAGCAACATACTAAATACAGTCTGGGCCATGGGGAGAGAATCACAAGTACGACAGCCCAATTGCGGGGGCAAAGTAAAAAAAAAACAAAAAAAAACAAACAAACAAGATACATTTATAATATACATTGCTCACATTTGACCTTTGCTGGATTCGGATAGTATTTCAATGGACTACATGGGTGGTATCTGTGAACTTGTTTATATCAACCCTCGAGTAATGTATAACAAACGTAAGCGAGAGTGTCTAGCTTGTTATTAGTCCCTTAAGCCCTAAAATTGAGATTTTACTTAAATCGAATCGTCTTGAAGCTAAAATATCAGAAGCTTTTCTCACGCAGACTGTCGCCCTTCACAGGTTCCACATTTTCTGCTACTAGTGCTGCATCTACCACTGGACAGACGTTCGAATGCTTGCTTTTACTCCTGTTTTCCTCTTATTGTCAGAAAGTACAGCTGTAGGGAGTGTGGAGGCTGAGGAAGCTTTTGGGGACCTGCAGCAGTGTCTCTTTTAATTGGAAATGACATTTCAGACCCAACAGTGTATTTTTCCAAATACCAAAGGCTGGAACAAAGAATGTCAGGAAAAAGTATAACCATTCCAAATTACGGCACTATTGCTGTGCATATTTTTGGCAGTTCAATACATATCATACAGGCAACTGGGGGCAATTCAGCCGTTTTTGCTGCTACCATACAAACTAATTTCCAGTAATCGTGCATCTTCTAAGAAATATGCCTGCATACGTGTATAAACTATATAATTAATTCACGAAGAAGCTAGATTTATGTAAAACAACGCTGTTCAATTAGCAATTCAAAGATCATCAGACGCAGGGCCTTTAAAACATCTGCGAACCAGCGCATACAGAGTGGCAGCGCAGAGTCGGGTCGCGAGCTAATTTGCCGACCACCCAAAGGCCCATGATATAAATGCCACTTCAAATGCCTTGAAAGCGGGATGTAATATCGTCCTAAATCATGAACATGCAAGGAACAGAACTCTAGCGTCTGAAACACTTGCGCCACCGCTTCACCGACCCCTCGCAAGATTGCCGTGTGTCTAGTGGACGGACGAGGAGGTTCATCGGCCGAATTGCCTCCGCCGATAGTTTTCGGGATTTGTAACCCAATTTTAAAGGTAAAAGGGACAAGCGGGCTTATAAAATGTACGGAAGCACGTCAATATCGGCCTAACTCAACGTCTTGTACACCGGGTAAACGAAGTCGAGCTCCTCGAAGAGGTTGCGGCACACAACGCCAAACCAGGAAATCGGTGCTGGGAAGCGAGCCGATGCGAGATCCCGGAACGGAGTACTTCCCCTGACGTCACGGTACACCTCACCCAATCAGGGCGCGGCGAGCGCAGCGACGCTTGTGTTCGCTCTCGGGGCTAATAGCAAACTGTTAGTGTCTTGATTGCCTAAAATTTCCTAAACAGCTTTTATGCTATTCTGTTGTGGCTGGCATAATTTCAACTGGAGATTTGCAACTCTTTATAAATACGGGCCAAATGAATTTTTAGATTTTTTAGGAAAATAATTTGTTTACATCATCAAAATTTGCCACGCAACAACTAAAAAGAAGTTTTATTCTGACAAATTATATGGCTTATATTAACCACAGGCAACAAATATCAAACAAAATTGTTGGCTAAAAAATAGATAAAAAGTTAATTAGCAAATATGAGTAAATTAGGCCACTAACTGTGGCCGATAACACAATTTTGCTGGAATTACTGTAAAATCCCGAGAGATAGGCCACCTAAAAGCGAGAGTAAACTGTGTGAAAGTGAGAAGTGGGCTAACTTTCGGTGTGCAATCAAGAACATTTTTGAGAATGCTACTTTTATATTCTGTGACCTGCCAACCTTGTTTTCAGACTGAGGGGCAGTGGAACAGAAAAAACTGTTTTTCTCAGTTTGCAACGTACACTTATCTCCCGCTGAGGCAGATTACCACCAGTTCTGACGAGGTCCCCATGATGGGCCAGAGCACTGATTTTAGTAGAGGTGGGCTATCTTTTGGTGTTTTTAAAAGGATAGCGAATCGAGCCAAAATTAGTGGTGGGTTATCTTTCGGGGGTGGGGAATCTCTCGGGATATTAAGGCATATCTTTATTTACAGTGTCCGTATTGAAAATTTACCAATTTGCTTTAAAAAAGCCGTCAAAGCTACACAAATACAATTTGTGCAGGCAATTCATACGGCCTGCAATTTGTGCCCGTGAAACGGCTACATTAGCCACCTATATTATGCCCGATATTATAGGTGGCTAATCGTCACAATAAGTCGGCTAATTAACTAAAATATGGTAATTGACTTTTTAGTTCGTGAAATAAGCATTCCAATGAAAAACTTGCTGAGCATCATAGAAAACCGCTAAGTCAGTCTTCAGAAAGACTGGGAGCACGTGGGAAGCACAGTGGAGCGCTAAGGTTACCACTCACGCAGCAGGAGCAAGGCTACCAGTGCGATTTTCCGTTTCTTAACATCCACATTTTCTCGCCGCCAGCGTCCTGCCTGTTGCACGAGTGGCTTTAGTGCATCAAGGGCGGCTCAAACCAAGCCAGAAAACAGTTCCCGGCCAATCAGAGGAAGGCGGTTCACCCTCCTCACCCTCCTCGCAAACCGTGGGTGGAGTGACAAAGTGGGGCTTAAGAAGCAGCCGCTTTTGTTGTATTTTCTCCCTCGAAGTCACTAAAAAAACCTCACAAAGCCTTTTCTCCCTTTCCCATCCAATATGCGTGTCAACCTTTACGTCCGCGTTCCAGTGCGTTGGCTGTCCGGCTGTCCCTTTACCTAGAGTGCCTTCATGTCCGCGGGACATGAAGGCACCCTACCTTTACCACTCCCGCATGCTTCCGGGCTAAAACGACAAAATAAAATTAGATAAAAAAAAATCGGTTCCGTTTATTGCATTATTGCGGACCCGTTTCACGGCTTGGTTTGGATCGCCCTTTACTGCACTTCTCAAGAGCTCAAAGTCTCTAAAAAATAATGATTTCGTGGTTTTTGATGGCGCTCAGCAAGATTCTTTAAATAATAATGTTACAATTGAAAACGAGCGTGTTGGTTAATAGATACAAAACTTGAAAGTATAAAACAGCGAGGACGAGGACGGGACGCCAGCCACAGAGCACCGACTCAAATCAGTTCCGGCGCACTGTGACGTAAAATAGTGGCGCAAATTTCGTCATTAACATGTGACCCTCCATCGCCAAACAAGGGTTGTCTTTCCGGCGGGCACCGCGTGTTTCGTCTCGGTATCGACAGATTTCCAGAGCAAAATTTGACAATGAATAACTCAAACTGCATGCGCTCAAACCAGGATTTAAAAAAAAAAAAAAAAAAAAAACTGGGCTGGCCTTTAACATTGATTGCCTCCATTTCTTCACTATAAACATCTGCCCTAAAACGTATACACTTGAAGTTCAAAGAGAACGCCCACCCCCGAGAGAT